AACTGTTTTGCTGCTTGGTAAGTTTGACAAATACTGACCCAATCTGTATATTCAAACAAAAAGCATAAATAAGTTGTCAAGTGCATACTATTTCCAACTCTGTATCTATAAATATTCCAGTAGCGATTAAATCAACGTCTATAAACACAAAAAAAGAGTAAAAAAAAGTTTGCTCATAGAATCGTCAAAAAATGAATAATTAAGCACGCAATAGCAAAAGGAATGTTTTTCCCATTTAAACAAAAAATATTGAACATATTTCAATAGTTATCTTAGTAGCTACTACACAATAAGTAATTGCATGTAAACAAAATCCAAGAGATTAGCAAGTATGATGTTTGTCATATCAAGTTATAAAATTGTTAAAGCTCGCCGTTTGTGTGCATTAAAATCGTTCACGTTTTAGCGGCATGCTTTTCTCTTGCCTGTAAAAATGACATTTTTTTTTGTTTTATATCCAATTACTCTTAGTTGCAGCTGTATTAATATTCATTTCACCTGAAAAATAAAAGTATGAAAATTCTATAAAGTTCAAGTTCATGCTTCTCATATTGACTACTAATTCACTTAACTTGATTAATATTAATTTTCTTCTTGCCTTTCATTGTTTCCACGTGTTGAAACACGAGTTGTTTGGTACCGAATTCAATTGACGTTGCTTCCATTTCTTAAACAGTTGCGAATTTGTTATGCACGCAGTTTTTAATTCACTTTGACTGGTTGATTCAATTTATTGACAAAATTTATTGCTTCCGGACTAGCTTAATAAAATTTTAATTGATTTTTAATGTTTCCTGCTATCATTTTTGAAGGATTGATGAATTGAGGGAATTTAAAATTTAGATCAGTGGTACCCAACCCATGTGCCGCAAAAAATTGCAAAAATTCTACGAACCACGTGCTTTGTGAAGTTCCTGATATAGCTTACCCTCAAAATGTGCCGTGACACAAAAAAGATTGTGTACAACTGATTTAGATTGTTGATCGGATCTTCCGTTCAAGAAAAATGTATTCTAATTGACGTCCAGGATATCAGCTTGAATGTCATATTGACAAGCAATTAAACAGCTGGTGTCATTGACACACCTCACAATGTTAAAAAAAGCTTATAATTATTTTTTAAAGACGATTTTAAAGTTGTCAACTTTTAGTATTTTACTGCTTAATACGGCAATTTTTGCTGTCATATACTTTTTGACCTACCTTCTTTTTTGACTTAAAGGCGCCATGAAAGTATCAACATTCTTTTAATTGATCACGTTTCCGAGTAACCAAACATTTAACAAGGCTGAATTCATAAAGACTAGCTTAAAATTAACTTTTGACGGTCGTGGATACCAAAGCTTGTTTAAATGCAATAAGAGTACATGTTACTTCCTAAGATCTGGAGAATTTTGGAGGTTAGAATGCCTCTTAATTGATCTCTGGACAACGCTTACATGTTGAACATATTGTTAAATGTTACAACTAGAATATTCCTTAACCTAGCTTAGTTAAAATTTTGGATGAACCCAAAAACCCTAGAAATGTTAAGCACATCGAGATATAGCTCATCCAAAATCAACAAAGCGTTATCGACCAATCAGATCAACTAGCTTATCTACTTGTCATATCGCTGATTCATTGCAATTCATAATATATCGTCTATCTAACGCGAAACACGAAAACAGCATTGGCAAAAACGTGATTCCTGCAATCGATTAATTTAAATAACAGTAATGACATAGAAAAGCGTATTCTGTATTGCTTTAAATATTTTTTCTTCTTTTTATTTCCTTTATTTTCAACTTTCATTTTTTATTATTACTTTTTTTATGTCACACATGCTTCACTTTGCTTTCTTATCAATTAAATACTTTTTGTGTTTTTATTTTATTTTATTTTTTTTTGCAACTGTTCATTCTATATATAATCATCTTTTTTTTTTGTTGTTACAATATGCAATGCGAGTGTCAAATAATAGATATGAGAATGGAAAAAATATTATTTTATATTTTTTTATACATTATGATGAGCAGCAAATGAGTTTTTCGTATCTTTTATTTGTCATTTTTATTTTATATCTTGTGAAGAATAAATATTTTTCTTTTAAACTTGTTGATTAACAATTTCCATACATTTATGTTTGCAGAATTTATGGCTTTTTTCGGGAGTTTGTTGCTCTTTCTAGAATTTGACGTGACATCTTCATTTGTCAAGAATTTTGCATTTGAAACAGGGTTAAATTTAGGGGTAATAGCTTTGACTTAGAATCTATCTAGCGTAATCACCTTACTAGGCTTCAAACCTATCTAGCGTAGACACATTACTAGGCTTCAAACCTATCTAGCGTAGACACATTACTAGGCTTCAAACCTATCTAGCGTAGACACCTTATTAGGTTAAGAAACCTATCGAAATCAAGCTTAGTCATCTACTAATACTAAGCACAGCTAAGCACCTATCGAGATCTAAAGGAGACCAGGATTAAATATCTATGAGGATAAGACATCCTTATGTCTATTTAACCAAGGTTTGACAACCCTTATTATCTTTCAAGATTTAGTCTAGATGCCTAAATAGTTTAAGAATCATTTATCTAGGTCTAGTTCTTAAATGGCTTTCTAGATAAAGGTTAGACACGTCTAAGTCACCTTTTTAGATTTTTGCCAGACATGTCTAAGCAATTTCAGATGGATATCTTCTAATAAAGGCACTCAAAAGCTAGTAATCGACTAAGCAAATCTTGAATAATTGACTAGATGTATCTTGGGTAGGCATACCTAAGCTAAGATCTATAATATAATAATGTGTGAAGGGCTCAGCCTTTCAGCTGGAGGCACTGCGATTCAAAAAGCTAAGATCTATACTAGTGTCAAGTTTTACAGTATCAAGAAAGTAAATTAGATCTTAGCCTACTCTAACCCCCAAAAATACTTAACCTAAGATACACCCCTGACATAGAACTCGCAAATTCTAGAGAAAAATTTTCAATAATGCATAATTTATTGCTCAGACGAGGGGCAAAAGTAAACTTTGTATAAAAGTCATGTTTTCGCTTTCAAGCACATTTTATCGACAAGATATTTCAAGTCAATGCGAGTAGAAAATTATTTTTATTTAAGAAACAAAAGTAGAATAAACATTTAATTCCTTGTTTGGAAGTCATGAGTCAGTCTATATTTTTGTGTGCATTAGTGTTCAGCTAACCATTTTTGAAGTAAAAATATTTGTTTTGCAGTCATAATATTGACTTAATGGTTTGTCGAATGTTTGAAGGAAATAGACTTGAAACTGAAGATGTAAATTTGAGTTAAGAACCTAGTCAAAACCTAACTCTAGTCGAAAAAAGGATTCAATTTGCTCAATTTTTTGATTTCAAAGACTTAGTAATTGTCAAAATCATAGCAAAGTCATTATCTTATTAGTTATTTCTCAATCCAGTTTAATCCAAAGCTTCAATTCCGAAGGTCACTTTAGAATTCTTAAACTTTGATTTAGAAAAATTTCCAGAAGATCAAAACAAGTCATAGGAAAGTTTTGAACTCGGAGTAAGATCAATCTCTAGATTATTCCACGTGTGCACGAGTTAAGTAGCAAATTATCAGAATAAATATTGGAATAGAATATTATTAATACATATCTAGTAGCTTTAGAAGATCTAATCTGATGCAATTAGTAAGTTGAAATTGTTTAGTCATTGTTATGATAAAAAGCATCTAAAAATGCATCATCATGCACGGAGTTTATTGTTCTGAATTCTATTGCGTTACTAATCCAAGGCTATGTTTGAATATGACCTAAATCCTGACAATGTTAATTTCTTATCTAAAACGTCTAAATCTCCTTCCAGTCAGAGCAACAAAAATCCCTTAATTCATAAATCATCTGCATCAGTTCACTATAATCTTTATATAATCTGTTTTCTTTGCATAACTTTTTTTCAATAATTAATTACTATTTCATCTGTTTTTTTTTTAATTTGAGTTTAAATAGATATTAATTGATTCATAATACTTCTTTTTTCTGTTATTTAATGTTTTTTTGTTGTCAACCCGTTTATATCTCACGGTCTCTTGTCTTTATGAAATGAAGAATAGCAAAACGTGTTGAACGGCGCCAGATGATTATTGTCTTGAAAATAACGCAAAATCTCAGCCAATAAAGCTTTTAAAGAAATTAAATTTTCACTTGAGGGGTTTGTACTGTTATGATGTATAACTTTTAGATGAGGGTAGGTGTGTGAGAATTTGTGTTACACAAATCTATCAAAAAGGTTCGGAACTCATCAAAATAGTCAAAACATGATTGATTGGTTCCTGAACCTTGATCCATCTATACTTTCCTACATCTTCTAGATGTAATACATCATATTTTAGCAACCCCAATTACGGATCTTTTAAAAAGATCCACACAATGTGCTATTAATTAGCGAACTTAACTCGAAAAACGAGAGAAAGATGATTTATTGATTTCACAAGAAGAAGGAAAAAAATCTGCTCGCCGTTGCGATGTGAAAAGAAAAATATTCAAAGAATGTGAGACAAAATAAGAAAAGATTTGAGAAAGGTCAAGGCTGGTCATTTTAAAATAATATTTTGATGCAGAAACGTTAATCAAACAACTGGAAATTGAGAATATAAATCTCATGCTAATTTTGTATTTTTTGCGTTTTAAACTTGAATTTAATTTTCAATCAAATAATAAGAAAAAAACGAGAAAAACAAACAAAAAAATCCCGAAGCTTTTTTTAAAAAATTTCTTTTAGTTTTTTTTTTTAAATTTCATTCAATTTATCTCTTTCACACCTTCATTGTCATTATCTTCAATTTTCGTTCCAAAATTAGTCATTTGTATATAAAAAATTGTGAAAAATCGCAATCAATCAATTCAATTATTTAAATATCATATCTAAACGTTTCTTTCTTTCTTTTTTCAATTTAGCTTTAAAAAGAATAAAAAAATGTTTTAAAGTCTAAAATTGCATAAGAAGACTATACAATAATCATAAAAAATATTTAAAGGACTTAGAATATGTTACAGTTTATGTATAAATTAAATAATCGAACACAAAAAAATTTATAGGATACATATTGTGTAAAAGGGGTGATGATAAAATTGTAGATCGTCTTTGCAAAAATTTCATCGAGTACCTTACACGAAAATGTTGTTGACATGATTTTTTGAAATCTGTCAATCTTGTTGAGGAAGTCAAACATTTATTAATTTTGAAAAAATCGAGCATATAGCCTCCCTATTTTTCGAGGGTTCTTGACAAACTGAGTGTATAAAAGCACCCAGGCATCAAGAACACAAACATCTAGCCTTAGCTTAGTCAAAATGAAATAAATTTCCTCGGTAGTCTAGTGGTGAGTATCAACTGACAAAATTTTTGCCAAGAAAAGCTACTGTTAACTTATTTTACTTAAGTATGTGTGTATGAGTGTATGTATAGGAAGAAGTCGCCTTCAAGATAAAAATATTGCAGAGAATTCTTATTTGGAAGTATTTAGTAGTTGATTAGTAGAAGGTAATTATAATTAGGTAGATTAAAGGTAGTTGAATATTAGATTCTATTATAGGTAGCTTGTGCATGTCGATGAAATTGTTTCATTAGAATAACAAATTATTCTAATTCCTTTCGTTCGAATCTCATCGAAATTCCTTCATGGGTATGACTAAAGCTGCTTTTATTGTTCTCAATTTTGTTTCAAGAGCCGTCTATATTAGTAATACTAAATAGAACAATAAAGTATCTATCTAGAACAGCTGCAGTCATAATCTTGAACTTTTCTTTCTAGCTTTTAACTTGTGCAACGAAAAATGCACAAAACTTTATTTTTATTTTATTTCATGTCCTCCTCGCTTGTGTCGGGAGGAAAAGCTAGAATTTGAATTTAAGGAATAAATTTACATGATTAATCATAGCAAGGAAGTTTAATTTCTTTTTGATTAGTTTTACAATCAATTTTTTTGGTAGAAAAATTAAAATTTACAATGTTTTTGTGATTTTTATGTTCGCACGATTAAAATTTTTTGTTTGTTGTTGCGTTAAGTTACATACTTGTTTGTTCTCCACTAAATTGGAAGCCATTCATTAAAATACTTTGAAATATGATTTGTTTTTTGGCATTCGAGTCTGATATTTTGTCGAAAAAATTAATTTTTTTGGTGATTTTTAAAGGAAGTTTGTCATGTTTGATTATTATTGTCTCATCAATAAAATAGATTCTTATATTATATACGCTACAGATGAAGTGTCCATACTTGTTATTAAAGTACGAATAAAGTTCATTTCTTTTCGGGTATTTTCTAGGATAATTTTGGGGTCATGTGATGTACATCGAAGAACATTCGGTGCGAAAACCATTGCCAAATTGGACGAATCCATTTTGGTGCAAGCAACGACCTCAGGTTGGGAGAATTCTTGCAGGAAGTGGATAAGATAAGTTAGCACCTACATAAAGTACAGAAATTCATTAGTAATCAGAAATTCATAGTTAAACTGCAAATTTACCAATCGATTAAGTGGCGTTAAGCGATCAACAATTGCCAATACTTCTTTTGGATCATCAGTCTGTATGGATTCGTTGTACAAATCGTCAGGAATGAGCGGATCGTACAATTCACGATACCATAACTTTAGTAAACTAGCTGGTGCATGAGCGTCTATGGAGGGATAATTAACGGTCAAAAATTATTTGAAAAATAACGGACATGAAATATTTGAAATAAATCCTAGATTTAAATTAAATCTTAAGATTAAAAAATTTAAATCTATAAGATTGATGCTCACCCATCGTCACTCGATCGTCGGGAAACTCCCACTTATCAACATAAGCTTTAAGGTAAAGAACTTCGTCAGCATCAGCAGGAACTCTAAAAATACCCTCAGTTTGCTTTCCTTGCATCAAAAGTATCTGCTCTGATAATGTGTGTTGAATCCATGGAATTTTCCTATCTGGAAAGATTTCTCGTTGCAGTTCCATGATTTCTTGTAACGTATTACCAAACATGCTGTCTCTAAATATTTGTTCCTACAAAGAAAAGTCAGTGACATTAAAAAATTGATTTACAGCAAATAAGAAGTGATCATACTCTTGAATGGTTTATGTCGTCGTCAGTTGGCTTCTTTGCCTGTTTCTTTCCCGTACTTCCTATTCTCTCAAGTCTTCGACACGCGATTGTCGCATAATGTGACACTTGCACGTGAATTGGCCACTTTCCAATTTCCGGAAAATGTTTTGCAAACGACGCATCACGATGACGATTCATGTAGCCCAATAGTGCAGGCTGAAATGTCGGCGAAGGTGGAACAAACGAGAGACAAATTGCCATCAATTCCCATCCACGTATGAGAGATTCACGCTTTGGATTCTCTGTCGTTTGTCGACATAATTGAACATAAAGCTCATCACGTAACCAAGAGTTTGCAACAGCTTGTGTGATAATATCCATTGCAACTGAATTTAAGCTCATTCCTATTCGTGCCTTACGATCACCCATATAAATTTGTACCAATTTAAATTGTTCAATTGCCATCTTCTTTCCAGCCTTATCACGTGCTATACTCAACATTGGCTTCGTTATTGCCTCATTCGTAAATGACAGCATGTCTCGTACGCTTGACTTCTTACGGAAAATTCCTTTCGAAAAGTTGAGATTCTCTTGTGCAAATTTTTCGATATCACATTCCTTAATTAATGCCATTTCCGCTATCTTATCACTATTGGTGTTTAGTTGATCTTGGAATCGTTGAAGGAAGCTTTTTGATTGATCTTTAGCCGCAACAAGACTTGACGCATGTTGATTTGCTGATTGTGGCGTTGAACGGTAAGATCCAAATTGTTGTGGAATTGGCTGTGGCTGTGGATTTTGTTGCTGCTGCTGCTTTTGATAAGTATTTGATGCACTTTGTTGGTATGGTTGAAAGGCTGATGGCTCTTTTGGTTTTGGATTGACTGGAGAAAATGAGTACTTTAATAATGGTGGATGATGACGAACGGGACTGTAGATTTGATCTTGAAAACTTTCAAGTTTTGCAGTCACTTCAGCGGATCTAAAATTAATTATTATTGATTTTTAATTATATTATTTCATTTCAAACAGCAAAGGAAGTTGTCTTTCGTGCATGACAAGATATTTTTGCATCTGCAGAAAGCAGAAAGTAGTGAGCAGCAATGATTCTAATTGATTTTAGGTAAATTGGAATTTATCGGCTTTTTAAAATTCAAAATTTTAACGTTTTTATTTAAATTGAAATTTTAACGGCTTTTTGAGATTCAAATAATGTCACTTAAATACAATTCCGAATTCTTAAAGTCCGTTATCTTGGCAAAAAAATATTGATCTCCAAAAATCACGCAATTTAATAAGGGGCCGTTCACTTATTACGTTCGTATTTTAGGGGGGGTGAGGTGTCAAGTAGTATGTAACGTTCTAACTGTCGTTTGTCTTTCAAAAAAAAAATCACGAAAATTTAAATGTTCTTAATAACTTCCTATAAAAATTATCAAAATAAAATAAATTATGAACGTTCAGGGGGGGGGGGGGGGGGTTGTGAGTTGTAACATATTGTAACAAGGGGGGGGGGGTGAAAAAAGTACGTTACGTTTTTTTGCGTAGCGTAATAAGTGAACGGCCCCTTAACAGTGCCTTTCTAAAATTATACCTTATGCAAGCTATTAATAGCATAGGTCATACGAAATCCGAAAAAGTGTGAATAATTTACGGTTGCTTAGATTGCAAATCATTATGAAAATATCCATTAAAATTTCATTACAATTATTAGTTTTGGAATTAAAAAGAGAAAATTAGCAACATTAATCCATCACGACTAATTTATGGCACGAAAGCACTTAGAAACCCCAAAAAAATTATGACATAATAAATACTCACATGTCTTCTCGACTCACGTTACGGTTATAGTTCTCATAATTATAATAGCTTGGTCCTCTAAATGCTCCATAATCTTCATATGGATTATGTGCGAGGTAATCTCGGCCATCCGAGTGATCAGAATCTTCTACATCTGGCTCATTTCCACTTAATGAATGTTCCGATGGACTTTCTGATCGAATTGAGTCTGAATCATATTGTTCATTAGCTGCTCTAAATCCACTCAATTTTGCCTGCTCAAGAATGTAATGCTGTAATGGCAACAAATGTTCATTCATATCTTGATCCCAATTCGTATAAAGTGGTGATGTATTTCCATTATCAGCATATTCGACATCTTCAGAATACATTTTCTTTTTACTACGACTTGTGCTTCCACTCGTTCCTGCAATCTTTCCACGTTCCAATGTCGGCTCCTTATTATATCTTAATGAATTCTTGTTTGTCTTACTTAATGAATTTATTGACGATTCTTGACTGTGACTAGATGGAGATTTCATTGTGTTGCTGGGCTTTAACATTTGGTTAATTTGCTGGATTGAACGTAAATTATTTGCTGAATGTCCGCCCGATGCTGGTGACAATTTGCCTCGTTCCATTTTCAATTTATCCGAATATCTACAAAGCAAAGAATATGTTTTTAATTAAATATAATGTACAGGCAGAAATTTGCATAAAAAATACTCACCGATCTTGTTTAACAGCAATGTCCATGTTTACTATATCTGGATCATATTTGTTGTGACTAGATTTCTTTGTAAGTGATTCTAAACCGAGATGTGAAGGTCGGACAGATTTTGACTGCAAAAAGATTAAATTTTAACGATTTTTTGGAATTTGAATTATTAGCGGTATTTAAGGATCAAAATTTTAACGGATTTTTTTAAAATTCAAATATGTTTTGTACGTTAAAAAACAACAATTACTTGATGCTGCTGTTGATGCTGCGGACTAATTGGTGACTGCGGACTAGAATCACTCGATTTAAGTCCTGTTTTTGACGTCGTTGTGTGCCTCCTTCGCGTAACAGGTGTATTTTCGACAGATTTAAAGTACTTTTCGTGCATAGAATCATCACTGCCGTGTCCATCAAATGATCCTTTTCGTTGCTGCTGTAATTGACTTCTAATACCCGGTCCACTGTTAACAGGTGACATAAAACTTCCCGATCTTGTAATACTCAATGATGGACCAGAATAGTCAAAACTTTGGTGTTTCGTTGATGCTTTTGTGGAATCTCTTTCTCGTGAAGATTTTCCTGGTGTCTGTTGATTCTCATATTGTTGTAATCTCTTTTTCATTAATGGTGTTCCACTCGTATGTGATGGTGATTTATTATGATTCGATGATGCCAAGTCCGATGAATTAGATATCGATGGTACTAAGTGATGTCCCCGATCCGGAATGTTGTGCGAACTTGAACTTTCTTGGAGCATTCGATAAGTATTATCAGGATTATATTTATGACTACTGCTACTCTTTCCATGCGAGCTTCCAATTCTCAGACTTCCACCTTCCTGTATCTTACGATAATTAGCACTTGATAAACTAGAGTCACTGGATTTACCAGAATCCATATATTTTTGGCTATTTCTCGACATTCCTTGTCCACCACTTCCGCTGCTATGCTTACAAAACTTGTACGATTCACCAACGACAAAGTCGTCAACTGAATGCAATTTTGCCTGCTGAATTTGATAGCCACTATTATTATTGTTATTTTTGGAATGTGATCTCTCCGATCGCTCGTTACTGTTCTCATTGTTATTACTATTATTGTGATTATTATTTCGTCTTGTGCTATTCGTTTTACTACTACTTGTAGTATCTGAGTGCCTCTTTTGCTGCTGTATAATTTGCTGAGCTTCCTTTATCTTGTGAAGTGGTGTCTCTTTGGTCGAGATATCATTTGGTGGTGGCTCTGTATTCTGTTTGAGAATTTGTAATTTGGCGAGTGGTATAATATCACAATTTTGGGGCTTGTGCCAAACTGTCTTCTGCGATGAACAATTATAATAATAGAAGCGATCTGTCTTTGGATCAAATAACTCCCACCATTGTGATGATGATGATCGCTTGATTGGAACGCCCTGGAAATAAAAAGAAAGAATAGCAAATTAAGATTGACTTTGAGTTGTTTTTACTTTTTACTTTTTTGTTTTATAAGATCAAAATAATGAAGACGGAATGGAATTGATGGAATTAGAAAATTGTGAGACAAGTGTGCTCAATTTACATCTTGTGTAATTGCATTGACAAACATTTTAAGGCGAAGTAGCATAAAAATCAAGTAGAAATATCGCTATTGATTATTGCAGAAAATTCCAGCTTTATTGGAAATGGCAGGCAAAACCACAGAAACCTAGGCAGTCAGAAAATATTTGAATATTAACAGTTTAAAAACATTTGAATTGATTTTGCATAAAACTCATAAAATTCAAATTGATTTTTAACGGATTAAAAATAATTTCTTAAAAAATATCGTGTCACGCTGGATCTTAGTCCCTAGATAGACATCATTCAGACAAAATGAAGGCTACAAATCGATGTGTGTATCATAATTGCGTACACAAAAATTAAGAAACTAGAAATGCGATAATGAGCACATTCCGTTGAACATAAAAAATAAAAAAAAGTACTTTGAGGAATGTGTTGTGCAATTATGGTAATATTTAAATTTATCACTTCCGAAAAGACAACAACAACTTTACACTAACGGTTGTGGGCTTCCGCAATATAAACGATTTAATAGATCTTTACAAACAATGCCTTACACACATAATAATGTTCGATGACTGTTTTCATAAAGTGAAAATTAATTTTTTTACAACTTTTTTCAAAAAATAAAGCATTATGCACACGCAGATTAATTGAAGCTCGATAAGTTATAATTAAATATAATAATATTATTATTGTTATTCTTGTTATTTAGGAAGTTTGAGTTGTGTGTGCGGTCTTTAGCTTATTATTCATTGAAAATGCGTTGATGCGTTAACTTTGACGATACAAAAAAAAAATAATTTTTTATTAATTATTCGGATATTAGCTTTGGAATTTTGGCTTTCAACATGTTTCAAGTATTTCCAAAAATAATATTTATTATTTTTATGAATGGAATCTTCACGCTGATTTGAATCGCGTAAATTAATTAAACAGTGCTTTAAAATTCGTATTTTGAAGATATTTGAGCAAATGTTTACCCGAAATGTACGAAAAAGTTGAGAATTTAATCGCTTAAATGGAAAATAAACCATCGATTCCGTTTGTATGAAATAACTGTTTATGTCTGTGGATTTTAAAAATTGATTTAATTCTTAACGGATTCTTGAGATTTGAATTTTAATTGAAAACCTTACACGTTCATAATATTTATTATAAAACCTTACAAATGTTTTTTTTTATAAAAAATGTCCAAAAACCTTACAAATGTTTTTTATAAAAAATGTCCTAAAACCTTACAAATGTTCATAAAGTGAGTTTAAAAACAATACAAATGTTTTTAAAAACCATTCAACAGCTTTTGGAGTGTTCAAAAACCAAAACCTTACAAAAGTCCAAAACCATACAAATGCAAATCAATAGCCTTCAAATTGTTCTTTTTAAGTCAGACCAAATCTATTTATAAATCCCAACGTTATAATAACTTTGATTTAATATCAACACGAGCATTTTTTGCATTCTTGCACAGAAAAATCTCCAAATTAGTCGCGATTACAGCTGAACAGCTATGCGATATCGTGGGAGGATTTAAATGAATAACAAAAAAAAAGGTTTTAAGCAGTTTCGATTTCATCGAAAAAGAAAACAAAAAATCATTTCCAAAATTGGAAGCAAAATAAATAAATACAAAAAATAAAGCCACATGCAGATATTGCACTTTCCCGTTAATTATACAAACAATTAATTGCATTCGTACGCGTGTTTTATTCAATAAATCCATCAACAAGTTTGGATTAGAAAAGCGCTAAAGTGAACCACCTAATGTGACTAATTCACTATAATTTTAAAAATTTCAGTAAGTATGTTTAGTGTAAATTATTGCGTAAAATACGAGTAACCGTTTCTTTCTTACACAACAAACATACATCCATACATATGTGAGGCATATGCATTATCTCTTTTATTACTTCTTTCGTATCTGCGAGCTATGCTTAAAAACTCATATATAATAAAGAAATAGAAAACTTTTTGTTGTGCTCTTTGAATTTGAAGGCCACTTCGCGGTCTTTATCGCCCCAAAAAAAAAATAATAATTTTATTTAATGTTACAAATTAATTGTTTCAATATGAGCAGCAACATAGTTCGTATATTAATGTTAATTGAAATGTTTAATATCAGGGATTTGTGTATGTTTCGGTCTTCTTCGTTTTCCGGGGTTAAATCAATGAAATTAAACATCTGTCATGTGATGAAAAAGAAAATTAAGTGAGTGAGCCCTGATAGCCAAGACAAACTCAACAAAAAAAATGAATAAAAATCCAATCGATTGTTTACACTATAACTTTTGAATTGAAATATAATGAAAGAGCAGAAAAGAAAGAACTCCATGATTCTTATTTGGGTTAAGTGCCAACAAGCAATTGATTTTCATTTTTTTTTTCATGATGTCTTTTCATTATTATTTTTGTGTAATTTTCTTTCAATTCGGTTAGGGGCCATTCACTTATTACGTAACGCTTTTAGGGGGAGGGGGGGGTCTAAGATTTTGTTACGGTTCAAACAAGGAAATTTTTTTTTCATACAAATTTTGTTACGAGGGGGGGGGGGGGTCTAAGAAGTCATTTTTTCGCGTTACGTAATAAGTGAACAGCCCCTTAGGGGTTGCATGTTGAATGACGTCTGTATTTGGGTGTGGGGAACTATTTTGTACTGGGGGTCTTCGATTTGAGGAGGTGCTTTATTCAGAAAAATTCTGTTTAAATCGAATCAACTCAAATCGAATTATTCACTTTTCTTTTTGTATGAAATTTGTCCGTTGCAAAATCATTTTAAATTTTCTATTCATTAATTTTCGTTAATCAAATCGAGGACCCCCAGTAGTGAGAAAGTTAAAAGTTTCTAGATCACTATGAAGTATAACTTGTTGAAGTGATTCGGAATATAGATCCGTATGGGGGTTGGAGGGTGTTAAAAAATGATACATCATTTACGACCCGACCCCAATTAAAATAAAATCAAAAACAAAAAATAAACGTGGAAAAATCAATTTTAATGTCTGAAACAGTAGGAGTAATAGCAAGTAAGAAGAAGTCAAAGGAATAAGACACTTTTTCCGGTGGAAGAAGAAAACCAATTGCTCGCATAAGCCATTGAGTTGCTTTACTAAAGAGCGCATTTTTATGCTCAATTGTTTGGGAAAATATAATCGCTTAGATTGACGACTTAGACAGCATGCAACATTTCATGATTGCAACTTATTTTACGCAACATTTATGCTTAATAATTGACATAATAATGACGCTTTATTCTGCAAGGTTCCAATGGAAAGCGATTCAATTGGAATTTAGGTCAAAAATTAGCAAAATGTTATGTAAAGGTGCGACTATGAATCTTATGCATGTAACTAAGATTCGAAGCTTTTTCTATAAAGTCTATGAAGTTATGGACCAATTGGTAGAATAGTAAGTAAAAGAGTAGAATAGTAAGTGGGGGGGGGGGTCAAAAATCCAATTGATTTACAGACATCACTGATGAATGACTCCACATAAACTCAAAAATTTAACTCAATTGAAACATCCGAAAAAACTGTAAAAACAAACACAATCTGTGACCACCCGAAATGCATAGAAAATCCCAATTATCGATGTTTTTTAAATTCAAAACCTTCACATTTCTAGTGCCAGAAGAAGAGCAAAATAAAGGAAGAAGATACAGAGATAGAGAGTGAGAATGTGTGCACTTGAAATTATATTATGTAGTTTTTCCATATTCCTTTATTTTTTGGCACATTATAAGCAGCAGCAAGCATAGAATGCACATGTTTAGAAAGAGACACATTAAAGACTAGTCTTTTTTCCCCTTCGTCGTTGATTTATTTTGTATTTAAATTCCAAAAGAACTTTAAATAGTAAAAAAAGTGCACGTACATATGTATATACATATACCTAATGTTATGAAGGAGGGTTCATCGGCGCAAAAAGGAAAACATAACAAAAAATATTCTCATTTCCATATTTTCGGTACTGTAAAAAAAGTATGGGGCCGTTCACTTATGACGTCCAGGGGGGGAGGGGGGGAGGGTCAGCAAGAAAAGAACAATAAAAATTCCTGGAAATCCATTGTTTTTTTTTTGAAAAATGACCGTTAATTTCGGACGTCATAAGTGAACGATCCCTATGGAAAACCCCCGTTTTAATTTTATTTTATATACAGATGGAAGTAGGAAAATTGATTGAAAGAAACAGTGAAATTGTGCGTTGATGAAACGCTTTTGTTTGTGCTATTTTTATCTATTTCACTCTCTCGCTTACTTCCACTTTTTATTTTAATTATTATTTCATTTTTTTCTACTCATTTCTTTATTCGATCTGGTTTTTGGCTTATGTAGAGCAACTGTTTACGATAATATATTAATGATGATCATCAACGCTGGGTTAATTGTTTTAACAAGCAGAAATTTAGCAGCCCCCGCGCGAAAAAAAGAAGAGAATTACTTATAAATGAATTTATATACAATTAATAATATACACACAGAATGTAGAGCTTCTGAGAATCATGAACGAGTGTCGGTTAATCAGCCGAGGAATTTATGACTGTCGAAATTGTTTGGAGGAAATCAATTTATTGCATCCTCTGATAATGGATTGGAGTTGGTTAGATACATGACTGATCTAACGCTAGTTTGGCTAGTTTATAATACTAGGGACTGATTTGTATCTGATTCATGAGCCATAATTCTAAATAGGCATGCTCTGAGCATAATAATAATAATGTGTGAAGGGCCCAGCCTTTCAGCTAGAGGCACTGCGATTCAAATTAGAACAGAATCTATTGTACCACACCCTTCAGACCTACAGTATATAGTGGGATCCGAACCACTTGCAAGCTATGTACATTGCAAATACACCAGTACGTCATAAGACCTGATGTACCCTGCAATGTACCTAGTCACAATTCGTGTGTGCAAGATGTTGTAAGGAAGTAATCCAGATGCTAGTATATCCTTGTATACCTGACAAAGGAGGCAGATTCTGTGCCAAAGACCTCAAAACTACACGCGAACCGAGCTTCGTAATAAGAACGGTGAAATGGAAAAAGAGCTTCGAAAATTAGACATGGCCTGGGATTGAACCTAGGACCTTTGGCACAGAAGGCCAACGCTCTACCATTTAGGCTACTGATGCCATTTCACCGCATGCTCTGAGCATACTCTATGTATGTTTTGGAATCTATTTGGTGCTTCTGGACGCAACCTTTGTACAATTTGTGAGTTTGTTTGTAGTTTTTGGTTGACTGGACTAGGCCTGACTAGGATATTGAGAAGCAATAAGAGTCTTCTATCTGGATCCGACCAAAAATAGCTAAATCAACATTACCCATGCTAACAGCCGTTAAGGCAAATTTGCCCGAAAGATCAAAGAAACAAGTACTAAAAGAGCCCTAAACAGAAAGCAATATGTGCACGATCGAACTATGCTGAGTGATGATGATACGATGATCTCATTATGAAGTTTATTTTGGTTCTTGTTGCTGTCGTCTCATATTAATTTACAGGAAATAAAGACTCGAATGATTCACACAAAACAAAACACAACATGACACACAGTAGACACGACCGTGAAATAGATGTTAATAGTAAATAATTAATAAAGGATATTTACCTCGGGTGCATCCCAAGTACAAGAGCCTGTTTCAAGATTCGCATACATTTTCTCTTTCGATTTTGGCTCTATTATTTCGACCCATTGCGTCGACTGTTGATGCTGCTCTTTTGACCTAATGATGAAACAACGATGCATCATTATCTTATCACGTCTTTTAACACATAAACATTTAAAATTATTGGCTTTTTTAAGGCATAAATTTCACGACACCGAACTATCGACTGAATTTTATGAATGAATGATATTCTATTCTCTCTCTTTTTATTTTACAACACACAAAATTATCTTTTTTCTTCTACTTTCATGTAACACAGCGCAATGTACAAATAAATAAGAAGAGATATAAATTTAAATAAAAAGAAATATCACAATATTTCCGTTTTCCTGTCAAGCTCGAAAATTACACTTAATAGTAATGCACAATTATGCTGATTATGAAATCAACTAGCTAGCCATGCAGTCAGCACTGAGAGGAAACACCCAAAAAATTATAATGCAAATGCCTAGCCGTGAAAAAGAAAATTTTCAAATGAGGAAAAACTTTTTCCTTTTTTTTTTCGATCACTTTAACTTTCACCACATTTTTCACTTAAAATGGCACATATATTGATTAAACTCCGATTAATTACCTATCTGAAGACATTTTGGCTTCAATTGAGGATGTTTAATTAATAAAATATACAATTCTTCCTTCAATTTACATTAATTTTATTTTTTGAAGAATTTTACACAGTATTTTGCAAAATAAAACTGATCCAGCAACAAAATCAGCGCTAAACTGGTCCAGTGACTAGTGCGCATTATATTGGCAGTGCTTACTATGTGCCTTTTAGTATTACGGCCGTTCACGTATTACGTTTGCATTTCGGGGGGGGGGGGGGTTGAAAAATTGTAACAAAATGGAACATAGGGGGGGGGGGGGTTGTCAAAACATTTTTTTAAATTTTCCACCTTTTTATCAAAATAAAATAAATTATGAACGTTCAGGGGGGGGGGGGGGGGGTGGTGGGGGTTGTAGGATTTGAATTTTTAATGGTTTTGTAGAATTTAAGTTTTAAAAAAAATTATTTTAAAATTTTCGTTGAAATGCATATTTTAAAAACTTAAATGTCGCTTACGAGCAGCCTTATCGCTATAATTCTCAATAGAAACAACAAGCACTTACTTAATCTTTTTATATAGCACAGACAAAGTGATAAACAAGAAGCAATTTTACTAGAAAAACACGCTAAAATGATTTGTAAATATCAGCTAAACCCAGGTTAGGGGAATCAACTTTGCGAATATAGTTGACAGCCCTTTCTGCTATAAAATCAACTGCTACAAAATAAAAGTGCTATAAAAATTGTTTTGAACTGAAAAAAAAATCTAGTGGAAATAAAATAATTAAAATTAATAGGCAAATAACCATGGAGAGACTTAATTTAATCAATCAGTGCATAGCTTGTATATTCATTCTTCAAATTACAACATGTTTAGCGCAAAGACCTATCAGAGAGCATAATTATAATAGGTAATAAAACTGTTATCAATTTGGATGCAAAAAAGCTTCACGCAATTTTTTTTACGTTTTCCATTTTTTATCATCGCTAATGCCGAATTAAGGAGAGAACATTCATTAGTCAAGCCATTTTTAAGTGAGTATTATCATTGAACTTGATTGACCTTTGAGACTTACAATTGATAAAAATGTCAATAACAAGTGCAAATTTGTAACTTAATTATTTATGACTTATTTTCATTTTTTTTTCTTCTATTAAAAGCTGCCGGTCTCTCGGTTCCTTATTGGGATTACACAGGATCTGTCATGTTTACACAGAATTATGTTCGTTTAACGCCAGGTACTATATATTGTCATAGAATATACGTGTCACAATTCTCGTACACTTTTTTTGTATTGACGTAATTTTATTCTATTGCTTCATTCTTCCTCATCATCATCACTTTTTATTTAGATGAACAAAGTATGAGCGGAGCTATTTGGAATCAAATTCCGTGCTGGAATCGCAATTGGGAATTGTTTGTTGATTTTAAGGTAGCTGGTCGTGGCAAGGATCTTTTTGGAGATGGACTTGCTATTTGGTATGCAAAGGATAGAATGGTTGTCGGACCAGTCTTTGGTAGCAAGGATTACTTTAATGGATTAGCTATTATTATCGATACGTACTCAAATCACAATGGTCCACATAATCATCAACATCCATACATTTCTGGTAATCAATTATCTACTTTAATTAAAGCTCCATTCATGAATAATGTTATTTACGTTCTCAACATTTTATTTATAGCTATGATTAATAATGGAACATTGCACTATGATCACGATAGAGACGGAACACATACGCAACTTGCAGGATGTGAAGCTAGATTTAGAAATGTTGAGCATACAACGCAGATTAAGATCCGCTACGAAAATGACGTACTTTCCGTCTTTACTGATTTAGAAAATAAGAATGAATGGAAGGAATGCTTTTCTGTCGATAGTGTTGAATTGCCAACAGGTAATATTTATATTTATTATCGCTAGAAATTCATAACGTACGTGCACGTGATCGTACTTTACCATTTTTGAGATTGCATTTTAACGATTTTATTGAATTTATGTATGGTTTTGAACAAATTAAAATGAATTGAACAGCTTCAAAAACTTAAATTGTTATCGGAAATTTTTTAACATTTCCATGATTCTACCTAATCTCAATGACTTTAAACTGTTATCATATAGACATGAAATCTCATAAAAACAAGGTTGGATTACGTGTTAATTTCTACACATTTTTATTGTGTGATTCATCATACTCATCGTTTTGTAATCATGCATTAATGATGTTATTACTTAATTGACAGGATATTATTTCGGAGCATCAGCAACTACTGGTGATTTGAGCGATAATCATTTATTGAATTCCATGAAATTTTTCGAACTTGAAGGCGCAACGACTGCTGAACGCGCTCAAATAGTTCCACGTGCATCTAAATTTGAGGAGCCAAGAGAACATGTCGACGATCCAAAGCCAAGCTGGTCGAATCTTCAAATCTTTGTTGTCTTATTGCTTGGAATGATTGGAGCTGTTATATGTTCCATTGCTGGATACATGTACTACGAGAAATACCAACAAAATAAAAAGAAACGATTCTACTGAGACAAGCCTAAGCGAACTCGACAAGCTGATTCTTCGACACGTAAAAATAATTCGAGAAAATTTGTCTAAACAATTTCTTCTTCCTTGTCTGTTGAATCTATCTTCCTGCCTTGATGAGTTCGAGAATTTTTAATTGAAAATAAATCTATTCAATAATTCGTAAAAAGTCACATCACTTAAGACATTTAGTTGTGAACCAAAAAGAAAAAAGAAAGAGAAAGAAAACATAATTTTTTTCCTTCATAAGGATCTCTCCTCATTAAATATTTTTAGCGCCATCAATTAAGAGTTAAGTGTTTAATTTGTTGATTACACCTTTTTTGTTTTTTTACTATGAATATTCTCTTCAACTTTAAAAATAAACACGCTTTTTATGAGTTATGATAATTTTATGCATGATTTTTAATTAAAAATGAGAAAAATGATGGGAAACAGTGTGATCAATGGGTTCAATTTTATCATTATTAGAAAAACGAATCTTCTATTGAGAAAAAATTGTATAAAAAAATAAATTAATTTGAAAACTTTAAAATAATGTTCGTTTTTATTTTGTTTAAGGAATTAAGAATTTAAGTAGAAAAAAAATAAGTTTTGAAAAATTAACGCAAAAATAATATTTGAAAAATAACTGTCATAAAATATTCAAAAGTAGGACTTGCATAAATATAAAATAAATTTGACAGTTAAATTACAACTTAAGTAGAAATGATTTTAAAACCATACAAATTATCCCTGAAAAACCTCACAAATGGTTAATATCATATCCTTTTACTTAACGAAGCCGTCTGATTTTCTCAAATTCCTGATCAAGTAATCTCTTTGCTTCCTCCTTTTCCATGAATCTATCAGTTATCATCTGCACTGTATCTGGCTCGTGTTTCCACCTGTCTTTAAATGAAATTTTCGGGAACTTTTTCTTAATTTCATCAAATGAAAAATCTCGCAATTCATCATGGCTAAATCTATTGCTTAATTTAAGGACTTCTATTGCATTATCAGCATTTAAAGTTCCTAATATTTGTGTAGCTGCAAAGTTCTTCAATTCATTAATTTTTAATCGACCGGCGGCAGCAAAAAGACGCAATAAATTTAATCCATCAACATTCGGAAACTCATCAGTGTAAATATATTTTAGGACCTTTTCAAAAATGTCATTAGGTATGCCATATAAATTTATATTCTCAACTTCTGGATTCTTTTTAATAATTTCAGCAAAAGTTGAACTTCGAGCAACAAGTATGAATTTGTGAACGGAAAATATTTGATCGCCAATTTGAATTTTAAAGTCTTTATAGCTGTCATCTGTAATCAACTTGTTAATGTCGTAAAAAATGGTTTGCTGCTTTTCAGCCTCCTTTTGAGTGATATTTTTGTAAAGTTGAAAATTCTTGCAAATGACGTGATTGACTTCACCTTTAAGTTCAGCAAGTGTTGCATTTCTGTTTATATATTCTGGATATTTTGAATAAAATTTTTTGAAGTTATTGTTCTTGCTAAGATTTACGTGCTTGAGCTTCTTCAAACTATCGAAAACGTTTGGTTCGATGATTTTCAATTTATTTCCCATGAACGAAACTACTTCCAAATTTGTAAAGCCTTCAAATAAGTCACCAGGCAGGAACTCAATCTCATTATGCATAAAGTAAATTTTCTTCAGAAATTTGTACTCGGCTAAATCATTTTTGTTAACATTTTTCAGAGATGATGACCAAATTGTTAAATTTGTCATATTCGGTACCAGTTTTGTAAGACCTTGCGGCACTTTTGACATCTCACAATGATGAAATTTGACTTCCTGTACATCCTCCCACGTTTTTCCTACTGCATGCTCTCCAATTATGTCCATAACACTAACAGGAGGAATGAATTTTTCATCTATTAGGCATATGTAGAATGTTTCATTAGTAACAGTCTCCTCAAAAAATGTGCATAACAGAGACATAATGGAACTTGATGAATCTGGAAGTAAATAATGTTTGAAATTAACGTATTTGAAATATTCCAAAATTGTTGATTGCTAAAACCAGCTAAAACAATTGTAAGGTTCTCAAAATTTAAGTGTTCGACTTTGGTCATGGCTTACCCCTAAAGTGTGAGCATACGTTTAATTCACTGATTTCATCACCTAAACGAATCAAAATAATGTACTTTTGTTGATCAACTGATAAAACTAATGTCTATTATTCTTATTTCAGTTTTATGTTGCTCCTAAATTCCTCAAATCCTTTTTAAATTCAATTTTTTTAAACTGATTTGTTTACAAACAAAATTCACATTTATTTACTGTGTATAAAATTCAAATTTTAAAAAACGGTTAAAATCACAACCATACAAATGTTTTCACTTTAAAAATAAAATAACCGTTATAAATCAAATTTAAAGAAGCAATTTATTAAAATGTATATTAAAAATTTAAACAATTGGACTCACTGGTCTAAAGCTACTGCTCATTCATATGATTCTCAAAGTCTTTCTCAAGTTTCTTTATAGCTTCTTCTTTTCTTTCAAACAATTCGATCAGCTTGCAAACAGTTTCTGGTTCCATTACCAGCTTATCTTTGAATGTGATTTTCGGATATCGTGCCTTGATTACATCGAATGCCTTTTGCCTTATTTCATTGTGTTCATACTTGTTGCTTAATCTCAGAAGTTCCAGTGCATTTTGTTTGTTCATTATCTTGAGGATGTGCTTGGCTGAAAAATTCATCAAGTCTATAATTTTCAATTGTCCAGCAGCCGCAAATAGATGTAGAATGTTCACATTTACTTCATTAAGGGGAAACTCGTCATTATAAATAAAATTTAAAATTATCTCGAATGTATGGACAGAAATATCAATTAAGTCTAATTTCTCTACGTGTGGATTGTTATGGATAAGATCCGCAAATGTTTGACTTCTTGCTGCGAAGAGAAATTTGTGGACGTAAAACTCATTATCGCTAATATTTATTATAAAGTCTTTAGAGTTCTTATTTCTGGTGTATTTATAGACATCATGTACAAAATTCCTTTCAGGTTGTGGATATTCCTTATCGTGATCTTGCTGGAAGTGTAGCATTTCTTTCTCATAGTTCTTTATCACAATACTCTTGTATGCCTTAATATTCCTTATAAAAACACTATTAAGTTCCGATTTGACTTCATCCAGTGATGCATTAGGCTTGTATTCAGGATATTCCGAGTAGATTGTCCTGTAATTCGGATTGTTACCAAAATCAACAAATTTCAGCCGTTTAAGTCCATCCAAAATGTTAGGCTCAATAATTTTCAGGAAGTTACCATTGAATGAGATCTCTTCTATGTTCTTAAAGCCCTCAAAAAGATCGCCAGATAGAAATTCCAGCTTATTATCACCGAGATCAATCCTTTCAAGAAGTTTATACTCAATTAAATCATTTTTATCTACAGCTGTCAATGTTGATCCCCAAATGCATAAATCCTTCGTATTTGGGAATATTTTCGTTATTCCTTTTGGGACCTTTGACATTTTGCACCTTCCAAAAATGACTTCGTTGACGTCTCTGTTAATTAATCCGTCTTTGTGCTTTCCAATAATGTTAAGCTCACAATATTGTGATACTGTTTGATTCATGACTGTACAAACATAGAAATTTATTCCCATAAAGCAGTTGCTTGAGAATTCACACGTTAAAGCCATGCCTTGATTTTTGTTACTGGATCTTGCAAAAAAATAATGGAAACTTCCCCGGTTTTTTGGAATAAGCTACTACTCGTTACTAAGCTACTAGTGAGCCAAAAAATCACTTTTAATCTACTAAGCTAGTATGTAGCTTATAACGAAAAAACAGGGTAAATATTTGTTTTAAAACATCAAGAACTCTTACCTCTTTGCTTTAAATAACGCCTGGATTTGATTTATGGATAGTAAGACACTTAATTTATTGGTTTTCAGAGTTTTTTCTGTGCTGATTAATTTAATTACAGTAGAATTTCAATTAAAATATATTTTTTTGGATTTTTCCGATTTTTCTTTGTATTTATTAAATTCAAATTTTTGAAAACCGTTAACTTTTCGATTGAAATGTTTCAAAAACCGTTGAAACAATTGAATGAAATCGCAATTCCATCGATGAGTTAATCAATATATATCGTCACGCAAGAAATTGACCGTTAATTTTTCAACTCCTTTTAAAGATTAAACAATGGAAACAACAGCGAAAAGTTCAGTTGACTGGACACAATAATTTGATAAGCGTTTGCCCTCTAATGATCATAAGTACAAAAAGTCATGCTCAATATTTCGGCAATGCGAGCCAAATGCAACACTCGAGGAAGTTCAGGATGAGCTGAATAAAGTTTTTAAGACTTAAGACGACAGATTCAAAGACTTTAAGATCTTTATTGATAATCGTCAATTTTGTGTCTATAAGTTTGTTTTTGCTGCAATTTGTCCAACATTAGCACGTGAAATTTTTAATTTATTTGACATTCTTGCTGATCGATTGAAGATTGCGAAACAATCTAATTTTTAAGAATTTCGACAGTAAGCTCCTCATCTCTGATTTTTTTTCTATGCCATGATTAAAGTTTTTTTTGGTTCTCATCGATTTTTCTTTTTCGAACATTCCATTTTCTTCAAAGACTAGTCTTAGCTTAAAGCTGTCAATAAAAAGAAGCACCTAATGGAAGAAAATGTCAAATTGGGGGTCATTCACTGACGTCTAAAATTTTGAAAGGGACGCACTAAGCCTTAAAAACAAAAACTTGATAAAATTTTCTTCAAAATTAATACTTAAGCTCATCACAGTGATGAAATTTTATATTTTATAAATTCTATATTTTTACGTTTCCGACCAATAAATAAATTACGTAACGCGAAAAAATGACTTCTTAGACCCCCCCCCCCCTCGTAACAAAATTTGTATGAAAAAAAATTTCCTTGTTTGAATCGTAACAAAATCTTAGACCCCCCCTCCCCCTAAAAGCGTTACGTAATAAGTGAATGGCCCCCAAAAGAAAATGGGAAAATGAATTTCAGCAACGGAATTTGTCATTGATAAATAAAAATCAAATGAAGTTCTTATGCGAACATTCTAAGCAGCTAAGATTCGATTTAGATGATTTTTTCCAAAGCATTTTGTCTTAGACTTGGTTTATGACGGAAGCATTTCAATTTAATACGTGTTGAACTTAAATACCCCCTTCCATGCCTTCCATACATCTTCACTCAATGGAAACTTGTCAGTATAGGCTCTAATTTTCGACTTCTGGATTTTTTTTGATGATTTCTGCTAAAATTGGACTTCGTGAAGCAAGGATGAGTTTGTGGACATGAAACTCAAGTTCGCCTTAATTTCAGAATAAAGCACGAATTCTTCCTCAAGTTCTTTCTGAATTAATGTGTATGATCATTTGAATCTTTTCTCTGCTGTCGGTCGATTAGAAATTGAAGAATCATTCAGGAAGGCATTTGATGTGTAAAGTTGATGGAAGTAATGCATTAGAAGTCCTTACAATGAGCAATAAGTACGAACATTATGTTCGTACAATTAAGAAGAACTATCCTAAAATAATTTTTTGACAATAATCTAATTAAGGAACCAGGATAAATTGCATCAATCTTTAAAAACTTTAATGTAGCAATAAGATTGTCTGAAAATACATTTAACAGAAAATATATTTAAAAGTTTAAATAAGCAAATAAAAACCTTTCTTGAACATTGATCATCAGATATAATTTTTATTAATATTATTAATAGAACTAACCTATTTGAATCTTACTAAAGGATTAAATAGTACATTTAATAAATATTTAACTCCGCGTTGGAAATCTTTAAGATAATTATCTAAGTTGAAATAAGTTGCAATAGATACAGTCGATAAGGATTTCTCAGTGCAGTGATGACATCCAAGTGAATTTAGTTCTATTCGAGTAAATTGATGAAATTTACAGTTTAAGAGATCGTCAGATTTAGATGTAAATAAAGTCTTGAGAGTTCCTTTGAACCAAATTTTGTCAGATGAATTAATACGGGATGAAAAATTGCCAAATGGATGTGAAGCTCGAAGTATGATTTTTGATTCCGGACGTGGATGAAGATTGAGAATTCCAGTATTTGACGATGACGACATTTTCACTTCAATTTCATATTCATAGCTGTTTGTGAAGAAAGAAAAGTTCATGATGACTGTGCATTTATTAAGCATCAAGATTGAGATAGAAATTAATGACGACTGAAATGATCTAGTCTGGCTGAGAAAAAACAGCAAATTATGCATTGATCTATCAATTTGATGGTGTTTCATTGTCAATGACCTGTGAACTCGGTAAAAGGATTGAAAACCGACAAATTTTGAACTTACCGAAAACCTTTAAAGTTCAGAAATTAAAATTTGTCGACACTGTTAAAGTTCAAAAGTTCAAATTTCCAAAAAAAAGCGTTAAATATTTAATTCCTAAAACTTCGTTGATTTTTTTCCTAGATTCAGTTTATGAACCACAAAATCTACAATAAATACTCACATATTCCATTTATCAACATTGCATCGCCTTTGTGTGTCAATATAGTCTTTAATCTCACAGTTCTCGCCATCAAAGCAATTTGCCTGATTTACATCTCCAAAATAGCACATGACAAGGTTTCCAATAAGGTCAGGGAGATAATTAATGATTAAATCTCTTCTCCAATTACGAACATTGCTAATTTCTGTGTCTGTAACAGTTCCCTCCCAAAAAATGTTTGTTCCATCAAGTTGACTGCATCGTAGCTGCATATCAATTTTATTAGAGTATGACGTAGAATGGCAGTATTTATGATAAATTTCCCAACTTAATGATTCGCTCTCAATTGAGTCAATAATGCTTGACGACTTTGTTGTTGTTGCTGCTGCTTCTTGAAGGTATGACGAATACAAATTGTTGTCATTTCTCATCATGTACGGACGGAACAGAAAGAAACTTCCAAGAATACAAATTGAAATGTGAATAAATGTTATGTATTTTCCAGTACGATTAGAAATGGCCATAAAGCATGATCCTAAGATGGCAACGAGACTTGTTGAGAGTGTAATGAAAATTTTGTTTGTTGAATCTGACACAGAAAGCCATTCAGTAGCTGCAAAGACTGGAATCAAGAGCACAGCAAGTCCAAAAATTGGTAAAAAGAAGAGAATTCCTGCAAGACCTAAAGCAGAGCGTAATAGTCCAAAAGTTGTTGCTGATTGAGAATTGATGATGCAAATTTGAAGCCACGCAAGCGTTACACAATGCGGAACTAAATATTGATAGATTCCACTCCAATTCTTACGTTTTGCAAGCATCAGAATAAATAAGAAAATTGCCAAATAGAGCATGCCGCGACAATTCATTGAGAATTCTATGCCTGATCCAATCATGAAGCTTGATATACCGGGAATTTTAAGATCCAAAAATCTCCATTTGCTGCTCACAATCGAGTCCATTTCATATGGATATTTAGCCAAGACATTAAGTGCAAAAGAGAATAGAATTGTGAAATCAAAGCTTCTTGATGATGTGTACATAAAGCAGAACATTGTCGTGAATATCAGCATGAATGATAGGACTGTAATTTCTGAATTTGGCAGCCATTGATCAGCAATGTGAGGATAAATCATCAAATTTGATATAAATGCTATGAAGAACCAAAAGTATGGCTTCAAGTTGTTCCTCAGATATAAATTCTCCGAGTCATCAGCGTAGACATTCTCATTGTAGGATAGAAACAGTCCAGACCAGATTCTGAAGTCAGTAAACTCATGCTTACTTTTAACCATTTTGAAGCTAGCAACAACCATGATGATTAGTGATAAATAGTATCCAAAAGTTGGTAATGAAATGAATATATTGTTAGATATTAATGCATAGATGACTAAGGCGATAAGTACTTGATATTTTTTGATAGTCTCTGTTGGAAATGTTGAGAATATCTTGACAAGACGATGATAAAAAAGTGAAAAGAACATTGCTGGATGAAAAAATGGACGATGAAAGTATGGCACATGAGATAATGATTGTGGATGTGGAGCTGATAATGTGAGAGCTTGATTGACTAGCGGAATATGACCATTTGAGTAGCTATGAGCTGCTGACAATAAATTAGCTTCCGATATATGATGATCATTGTCATCGAAATGCTGTGATCTTCTAGATGCTTGAACTCGCAATGGTGACGAATTGTTACTTCCACTAGCTTGCTCAACTTCTTCTTTTGTTGATAACTCTCCATTTTCATGCTCATCAGACTTTTTATTCTTCTTCTGGATCTTATAAATTTCCCTCATTCTTCGTTCCAGCTGCTCAACAGTAACATACTCATTTCCGTTACATAAACTATTGAATAATTCTTGTGCAGCACGTCTTGCTGTTCTCTCTGAAGGTGTTAAATCCAAGAACTTCCTTATATCACTTTCATTTGATGCATTAATTCCACGTCTTGTTCGATAGCAAGCTCCAAGTAGTTCCAATGCCAATTCATGTCCTTGCTCTGCTGCCTTTTTGAGGTAGCTAATTCCCTGAACTTGTCTATTTGGATCTAAATCTACGAAGAAGAGAAGAATGAGAAATACAAGGTAATGACGTCACTCATGCGTGAATGATCATTTAAAAGTCATTTGAATATGATTTTTACCATCTGTATCTTCCAATAACTGTTTGGCCAGCTCAAACTGACAATCTGAATTGCCATCTTCAGCCAATTGATATCTGTTTAGTATGTAAATTAATTAATTATGTTTCATTCAATTTCATAACTGATTTCTACTTCTTACCTTAAGTTTTTCAGCAGTTTCTTGTCCTCTATCTCCCATCTCTTTCTTTGTTTTGATGGATCTTGTCCATTCGAGCCATTATTCACCCAACTAGGCATTTTTTACTGCCTCAATTTCACTTAATTCAGCAATAACAAAAAATCTGAATAAAAAAACATCAGAAAATCAACAATTTTGTTGCTAATGTGGATGTAAAATCTTTAAAGAGGGACTTAAATACATGTAAAATTGTTCTTTATTGTAAAGTGTTACTCGTTAAGATGTCAAGGTTCTTTGGATCTACAATTGTTAACAACATTTTGAGGAAAAGATCAACATTCATGCATTTGCATGACATTTCCTAGAAAGACAGTAAAAGAGAGATCCAGAAAGCAGCACTAATATCTCGCTCATCTGACATAACAAGTAAAGATGTAGTCACTCGTAACTGACCAGAGCGCTTTGTCTCTGAGTACAGATTTTGAGTATCTAGGCAGGAAACAAGTTAAGAAAAACGTGGTAATAACGAAATTGTAAAATTTTAAGAAATAAATGTCGAAAATCTGTTAAAATTAATGTAACGAGCAGTCTGACAGACAGAAAAGTGCTGATTAAGTCTACTGGCATCAAAAATGTGCTAACAAAGTGATCAAGCAACAAAAACAGCAAAATTATTTGGAAATAAAAGTAAATTTAAAATTTTCTGGAATTAAATGATTGGCAATGGCTGAAAAAGATATTAAAGAATGCAGAGACAAGTTCCATCAAGTGCTAACGCATATGAAGCCACAGGATTTGCTGAAGGATGACACATTTCTGGAGAAAATGCAAACATATTTATCGCAGGCTGGTATGTCCATAAAATGATAGTTCTTATCGCTGAATTTCATAACTTTATGTATTTTTTCCATCTTATCAATGCATTTCTCTATAGAATATAATGATTTCATCAAAGATCCAGTAACAATGAATTGGATTGAGCAGTCAATTAATGCTTTTGATGATCCAGAAACAATTCCGTCGCAACAGATAGCAAATTTCACCTTGAAGATTTTGTGCTTTATTTGCTCGAATGAATGGAACTTTGTTGAGATAAAAGAGAAAGGCTTATTGGATAAAATAAAATTTGGTATAGAAAAACATCCACAGTTGCAAAAGGCACCGATTAAATTAAAACATATGCAGTTATTGCATGCTATCTCACAGCATTCAATCGGTTTGCACTGGATTAAACAAACGAAATGTTGGAATATAGTCATAGATTATTATCAGACAACATCATCGATTTATTTGATACGGGAAGCTAGTATTTTCTTCTTTGATGTTCTTGTCAAGTTCTCGGAATTAATGAAGGATGACGAGTCATGTACAGAGGCATTGGAAGCTATTATGGCACCTATATTGACTTATAAACATCACGAAAATAATCAATCGATTGTTGTAGATGATTCCGACTTCTCATTGGAGCTAACTCCAAGCATTAATGTCTTATCTCAAATTTTATTGCTGTGCGTCGAATCAAAGAAAAGAACTAGACTTGCTTACTTTATATTGCTCAAATATCGCTTCGAAAATAAGCTATGGGTAGCTCAAGATGCTTTCCAAACGGATCTAACATTTTTAACTTCATTAATTCGTGCACAGAATATTTCTAATATAGCACGACTTACATCTATGGATATACCTCCAACTGATGTCAAATCAACGGATTTACAACTTGATATACATGCTCTCCACTTCTATAATTTAACTATGTTCTGCATGAATCGTCAAGTACCAAAAGCAATTAATTCTGTAGCTGAAATGCATCACACATTATGGTTTAAATTAGAAGATCGAGCACCAAAAGAAGTAATTTTAGAGAATCATGATTTAATCTTTGGTGACCAAGTCACAATGGTACAAACATTTCCAATTCTATACATCATTAAGTCACGCTACAAGCAAAATGATCAATACATCATTCAAGTATGTTCGAAAATCTTTAAGAAAAGCTGTGAGCACACAATTCGTATGCTGTATCAATATCGCGATGCATTGTCACATGAAAATTTTGATTTTGTAGCTGATTTGGCTTGTAATTGCATTCAGAGCATTATATCCGTTAAGAAATACTTGAAACGTGATCGAGCAACATTGGCACTACAAATTTTAATCTATGTCCTTAAAGGATATGTGGAAGAGCCTGTTGATGATGCCGGAAGTAGCTGTGGACATGGAATTAATGTTCAATTAGTTTTACAAGCACCGAATTTATTGTCAGCATTGCTGAATGCCTTAAATGTTATGATTGATACGTTCAAATTCTCTTGGAAGGAATGTATTGAAAGTACTGAAATTGTGCCTTTATTGTTGGAGCTTCTAGAAAATCCCAATTTGTCGTCTAGAGTAATTAATCATTATTTCTTAATACAGCACAATACTTATTTTTTAATTTTTCTCATTACAGCATATTGTTGAGTCCTTCAAATTGATTCAGACATCGATCGAGCATTTTTTAGCACCGAATTTAGCATTATTGATGGATAAACTTGAAGGATCAGGAATGGAAACACTTGGACCTACTATTTATAAACGTCTACATGACATGTCATGGGAAGTCAGAGATTCAGTTCTTGAATTGTTACATGCCATTGTCGTCATATCTGATGAGAGTGAGTACTTTTTTGGGGATTTGAATTGTTCCCCAGTTAAAACATTTGTAAGGTTTCGTGATTAAAAATCATGATTAAAACCATACAACAGCTTAGTAAATACAACATTTGTATGGTTCTCAAATATATCAATATTTCGAAAATCTAAAGTTTGCTGAAAAGAGTTTTAGCCTTCAAAATATTAATGTCCCGAAACTGCATCGAATCAATCATTGTTTGATCACATAAAAAAAATCTTATTTTTTCTTTCTTAACATCTTTATCATACGGAAAACTTGAAATATTGGGCGAATCCCAAAAATATTTGATGACATTTCGATCACACGAACTTGACATTTATATGATCTCCTTTCTCCATAGAATTTCCGCCATTCCAAAAGCACATAATCCAGAATAAAATTTGCCAGACAGTCGAAATTGTTGCCAGAAATGATTCAGAGCCATATGTAAGAGCCTCAGCCTTGAGAGTTCTTGCTGCCATGATTAAAATTCGTCTCTTTTGGGAACATTCATTGCATGAACTGGATGTCAAGGTAAACTTTATAGATATAGTTCTATTAAGTTAAAGTAAATTTAATTTAATTTGTAGAAGTATGCAGTTGAAATTCTGGGTAATGAGAGCGAAGGTGTCGTTCGCCGTGAAGCAGTTGCTTGCATTACATCCATCTACAATTACCAACAAATTCCAGCACATTGTCTTGATTTAATATTCTCAGTCATGGCACATTGTGCTGTAAATGATTTCTATTGGGAAGTGCGAGTTAATGCTCTTCAATTTTGGTGCCTTGTCATCCAGAGACAATTCGTGCATCAAGGCATGATCGATGAAACATTCCCAGCTGTTACATTCTCAAAGGAGCACAAGAAGATAATCACATTAAATGATAAGGAGATCCAAATAAGATTAAGGAAAGTTCTTAATGAGTTGTCAGTTCGTGGATGTTTAGGAATAATGCTTGCATGTTTACAAGACAGTGATTTGGAAGTGATTAATAAGGTCGTTGTTATAATTGAGAAAATGTGTGGATACCTCAATAAATATAATTTCATTGACGAATATAAGCGTAAGACAGTTAAAACAGGAAGCACTAAAAAGCCAGTCATTGATTCTAATTATGCTGAATTCCAAAGTATGGACGGTGCAACGAATGTCGAAGTTCGTAATACAGCTGATTTGAGAAAGACAACGGAAGTTTGTATGTCGCCAGAAAACGGTGAAATACAAAAATGTACAGCCATAGAATCGATTATTGATCAAATTCTAAATACTGATGACATCACACTGCTCACAGACACATACAAGGAGAATCTGTCAATGAATTGCGCCAAGCCATGCAACATTGGAGAAATTGATGGAAATTTATTCAAGAAATTCGCAACAGTTAGTTCCGATGATTTCCTAGATTATTTAATAGAGACAGACATGCAGCAGTTGATTCGTGACAAGTCTGAATGGCTGCAACATTCCGAAAACTTCTCTACACTTTTAGACGATGTTTTGCGATCGTTTGGACAGAATGTTGATTTAGATTGTTATTAGAGAGTAAGTCTCTATATGCACAGAATTACACGAGTGCCCATAATTAGAAATATTTTTGTTATACCTTTTCTTTATATTTTGTCCCCGAGTGTGCTGCTCGGGTTTTACCACTATTTTTGCAAAGATTTTTGATAATAAAATAAGAAATAGAAAGTGATACGCATATCCAACTCCCACAAATGTCTTTTTAATCCATATTTTACATAAATTCACAATTAAATTTCACCAGCCATAACTTTATCGAGGAATGCATCACAACATCTAATAGATTGGACATAAGCTTTCTCAAATCCATCAGAATTGTTGTCATAGTAAGGATCTCGGATAATTCTTTCACCTTTTGGATCAAATTCGCCTAGCAACAACAATTTTGCCTTTCCATCTGATGGTTTAAGCTCATCCAAGTCACTCATATTCTCATCATCCATTCCAAAGATGTAATCATACTTCCGGAAGTCTTCTGTTGTGATCCGACGAGCTTTATTATTGTATTCCAAGTTGTGCTTGCTCATTGTTTCAAGAGCTCTTTTGTCTGGTTTCTTTCCAACATGCCATGATCCTATGAATTATAAATTTATGTTAATTGAGTCATTTTGTAGCTCTTTGACCTTTTCTTACCAATTGCTGCAGAATCAATGTCGAATTTGTCTGTCAAATTTCTCTTTTTAACAATATCAATAAATACTGCCTCAGCAATAGGACTTCTGCAGATATTTCCAAGACAAATAAACAGCACGTTCTTCTTATCAGACATTATTTAAATATCACACAATTTATTAGCTCTGCACTGATTGATTATTTTGAATGAAATGATTGTAGGCAATTTAACTTGTGGGCAGTTTTTGAGTACTGGAAATTTGAATTTATTTTGACTGTTAAATATATTAAGTGATTTTAAAGATATTCTCTTTGGGGCCGTAAACTTATTACGTTACGCAAAAAAACGACTTTTTTCAACCCCCCCCCCCCCCCATGTTAGAATATGTTACAACTCACACCCCCCCCCCCTGAACGTTCATAATTTATTTTATTTTGATAATTTCATAAATCATTAAAAAGGTGGAAAATTTAAAAAAATGTTTTTATTGTGAATTTGTAAACAAATTTTTTTTCGTGAACTTTTTTTAAAAGAAAAATGACAATTAGAACGTTACATACTTCTTGAATTCCCCCCCCCCCCCCCTTGTTACATTTTGTTACAATTTTTCATTTGATAGGATTAACAATGTTTTGCTGATACATAGTGAAATTAAATGATATATTAAGCAAAAAATAAACAATTAATTTTGAACAAAGGAAGTTTTTGGCGCCATAGTTGCGTTTAAAAGCTATTCGCTTTATTTGTCTGAAATATAGAACTTTGAAAAAACCAATATTTTTAAATTTCAACAACTTTATTTTTATTTCATTTCTTATTTTAATTACAATTTTTCTTTCTTTCTGTATGATCAATAACTTAAAACTTATACCTCATGAAATATTCCTTAAAAATAGATAGTGTGGATTTATTTTTTACATAGTATATTTTGCTCATATCATATAACTTGCATCTAAAACTTTATCCGTAATAACTGCTAAAGTGCATTTTATCTCGTTTACTTTTCTTCTTAGTTCTTGCATTAAACAAACTACCTATATTCATATAACAAGTGATAAAAGTGATTGATAAAATTTCCTTTATTATACAATCCATTATTCATATTATATAAGTTTATTATGTATATATTGACTTAAATTTCAATTCAATTTTACTTTTTTTTTCAATAAAACTCGTCTTCGTCCATTCCATAATTTTTTACTACATTCTAAATTGTGATATGAGTCATGCATGCAAAGCATCGATAAATCTACATTCCAAAAAGTCATTCAGCACCTTTTCATTATATAATTTTTGTTTTGCACAATTTTTACTAAAGTGAAATACTCTCTTTTTAATTTTTTTAAATAAAATTATAAGGAAACAATTGAATTTTTTATGTTACATGATGGCATTAAAATTTTAATTTGTCGTGTATCTACAGCTGAAGTATCACCGTCATGTACATACTCTCTCTCTCGCTTACTTTACTACTCTTGTGTATTTGCTTTAAACGATAATAAAAATAAAATTTTCTTCTTCTTTTTTAAGATAGCTGCAACGTGCGAAGGGCATTAATAAAAATTAAGAAATATAAAAAAGTAAGTGAATGTTTACATTAAATTAATAGACATGCATTGTATCTTAATTATAGTTAAATGGTGTATCAGTTGTGTATCTTGATGTGGGGATTTTACTGGTTGTCTAGGGTTGAGTTCATGAGCTACCCGAGGCACAAACATAAATTAATCATTTCAAATTTCCAACTTAACTCCAGTGATGGCAAACCCATTTATTGCGACACACTAGTGTTCCTTAGGGGGAATAGGGGGCCCGGGCCCCCCCTACGAAAATCTAATAATTGTTTTATTAAGTATTTATAGAGAAGAACCAGTTAATGTAGAGGAAGTGATGAAAGAAATGTCAAAATCAGTACGAAAAATTAAATTTAATGTATGAATAATGAATTAAATATTTAAACTTATGAAGAATGAATATAGATTTAAGGATACAAAATAACGGTTTTTTAATTTTCGAAAATGGGCCCCCCTTAAAAATTTTCTGGCTACGCCCCTGGCATAGCTCGTAATCGGCTTAATTCAAGTTAACTCGACTCTAGATTCAAGGAACTGGCTTTAAGGTTAGGTTTGGTGTATAGAAAGTCATTTTTAGGAAAGTGAGGTTATTTCTTATAATTTGGTAGGCTCACAAATTAAAAATTGTGTGTTGACCCTTCACTCCCTTTTCTGATTTACACCCCTGGATTAGAACAAATTCTGCTCAACCTTAGTTCTTATTTTTGTTTCGAAGTTACTTAATTTCTTTCCGTTCTTTCCAAGTTTTTGAAACTTTTTAAATTCACTCCCGAGTAGCTATTAGAAGATGATAACAGCATCATGGAAAATTCAGAATTTCTCATCATTTTGTTTTCCCATTGAGTAGATGTAAGGTTAGGAACTAGTTTAAGCAGATTTATTCCTACTTCCATGGATATTTTTAAATACTCTAGAGTATCTCAAGATATATAGATGGGCTCATACAGAGTATACTTGACCATACTCGACCATACTATTTTTTGTGTACTTATACAAACAAAAATTTTTAAAATTTTCTATTTTCAAGTTTTCATTTAAATATCGACAGATGCAACAACATTTGACTTAAGTCAGTTACTTTAAATTATAGCAAAGCATTTGCAATACTCCTGTATCAACAAAACTTAACAGAAAGTTGAAAATTTTGCAAAACAAAAATTGAAAATTTTCTTTTATAGTGTTAGTGTTTTTAGAAAATTCAAATTTTTGACGTTTAAAAACTGCGATATTTTTGTATGAGCACATCTATATATCTTGGAGTATCTTTAGAAATCATCTCCCTTCTTCCATTTTAGCTCATACAAAAAAATTATCCCCACTTCTTAGATACACCCTTGCAGGGCCCTGGGTAGGTAAATATGTAAAATTATTCACTTTTGCTACTTATCATGTGCTGTATAAATTTAATTAAAATACCGTTTTATATAATTAAATAAAAAATATTTGCAGATACTTAAAAATAAGAATGTTCTGGGATGGTTTCTGATTCAAATGATGTATTCAGTGAACCTCAAAGATACAAAGTATATCCACCCCAGCTACAACATAATCCTAAGATAACAACTTTAATTCCATCAACTTTATTTCAATTAAAATTAAAATTTATAAAATAAAAAATTATTGCGCTTTTTTTAAAAAAATGAAATATTTTTTTACATTAATCAATTCACTACAATTAATTAAGGCTAAATGGCTACAAATTGTCTTTTTTTATATCGCGATAATGGAATTTTTATTCTTTTTTGTTTCAAAAAAAAATTTATCTCGCTTAATTAAAGAATTGAATATTTACAAATTAACATTGTTGTTTTATTCAATCGATTGGTAATTAAAACAGAATTTTAATTGATCATGTGCAGAAGTGAGTAAACAATTCAGCTTGATGGTGGGTAGATAAAGTGCATTTTTATTGCCTTTGGGTCGATACTTTAGATGTTTGTTGATGATAAAGACTTTTTGTCTTGCTTAAAGATGTCACTATATAATTGGATTGGTTGTTATTCAATGTTTAAGTTCTTTTGTTCAATTTTTTAAGTTCGACCTATTTAACGGAAATTTTTGAATATTTTGCATCTAAAGACGCAAAAGTTTTCAAAATTGAAAAGTCCGTTAAATTGTTAAATTCTCATTTTTAACTTCTAAAATGTCCTTTTTGACCCCACCATCAAAATTTAACTTTAAATCTCTTCGAATCATTCAAATAATTATTTTGAAAATTTTAGTGAAGGTAAATTCAACAATTTCTTTTCCATTTGAGGTACATTTAATTCAATTAATACTCTTGATTCCATAAAAGTTTTTGTTTTTGCTCAAAACACTTGATACGAAGTTTGTTTTGGATAATATTCGATTTATATGACAGGTTATATGTTTTTGTTAATGATATATCGATCCATATAGAAAGTTCTTAATTTGAACTGGTAATATGCCTATAATCATAATTATTTTTTTAATTTAAGATAGTTTTCATAATTTACGTAACATGGTTTTCATTTTTTAATTGATTGAATTTTGTTTTCGTTTGTTTGATGTGTGATAGTTTAATGTGTGTTTACGAAGGTACAATAAGTTTTTTTATGTAATTTATTAAAACAAGGGATTCAATTGGGTTTGAACTGACATTGTTAAGGTAGCTAGATCAACAAAGATTGAGCTTTATAATATAAAATAGAAGCTGATAACTTCCGATTAATTAGAAAAAAATTCGAAGGTTGAAATAAAAATGAATTCAAAAACTTTTCAACCATCCTCAATTGAATTCAATATTGCATATCTTTCGATTTTCAATATACCACTAATACTGCTTCATTCTTCTGTTTGAAAACCATTAAATAATTCAGACTATTCGCATATCAATCAAAATAACTTTACGTCCCTCGTGCCTCAATTAATGAAAGCAAATAAAATCTTTTTTTTCGATGTTCTTAATTGACCAAAATGAAAAAAAAAAGCAAAATCCTCAAGAAGCCAATTTCTGTGAAGCAATCGACATTTTTTTTTTTATTTCTAATTTATTTGTAATGATATGCAAGGAAACTAATTACTTGTCTCGATGATGATACATTAGCAACAATGCCTTTAAGCTCGAAAGCTGTGATTATAATACTTTATTTGTTTTGTAAATCGAGTTGATTTGAAATGGATATAATTAAGTGTCAAGAGACTTCCTACTAGACTAATTTGCGATGAACAATATGAAAGATTTTTGATTCTTTTGATCAGTTCCTATCTTATATTCCTGTTCGTATCGATTTCAAACTGCGTATTTTGCTCAACATCTATTTAGTCATTATATATTCGATGTTTCGGTTGGGTTTTTATGATATTTGGAATTGGAAAATTTAATTGAATGTTTTTATGATTGAAATAGTATTTTAATCATAGCTGCATGCCCCTTAATCAGCCTTTCTCTAAATTTAGAACAATAAACATCAAGTTCTGCTTTTTTCGCACAATTTTCTTAGATTGAATTAATAAAAATACGCAATTTTAAAGAATTATTAAAAAACAAAGGTTTAATCATCTTTAAAGCTTTTAATACCTCGCATTTTAAACAAATTTGATGAAAATTCTGAGAAAAACTCAACTCAAACATTTTTCATCCCTTTTAATACCTTCCAAGCAGTGCATTTTCATCATTTTAAATCACATTACATATCCTCTCTTGTTTATGTTTCATGAGCAACTTCTGAAACTCGAGTGCCTGATTTTCATTCTTTCAGTAAACAGAGTGTTTACGTTCCTTAATTAGGTGTTTATAATTATATTTAATAACATTGGATTAAGGAACTTTTCATGAATTTGTTTTTAAAAGGCATTTAAAGCTATTTTTGAGCTTATTATGATTCGGTTACTTAGGAACCAAGTGGTTTGTTTACAATTTCTTAAAATAAAATAAAAATGCACTGACAACCCAACCTTCACATTCTAATGACTCAATACTAATTAATTTATATTTTTAATCATCAATTTGGACGGAATTCAATAGAAAATCTAAACTAATTACGATAAGTTCTACAATTTTCTCGAGTAATCATGTTTCTTGTTGCTTTATCTTACTTTTAATCCTTTTTCGTAGATTAAACATTATTAGTATTACGCATTTTATGAGAAGTAATTATCCCTTTGTTGATAAATTGGTAGTGGGTCGACTGGTGATTGTGATAACTCACGTTCCTCTTCTAATTCGCTTATCTTTGATGGAAGTACGGCCATTGCTTTTTCTATTGAATAAAAAAAATGAATTATAAAGTTTTATGAAATTCTTTTGGTTTTTGAAGGGTCATTGCAGGGGTCATTGGCTACAAAAAATCATTCAAATATAGCTCAAAAAAAGCTTTAGAGCGATATTTAATTGATTTTTATCGTAAATTGTTTCGTGATTGAGAAAAAAAAACTTTTTATTAAGGTTTTTTTCTCAATCATTAAGGGTTGATTTTGCAAAATGAGATTATTAAAAGTTGTTTTTGGAATGTTGACCGAGATAGAGTTTTGGAACGAATTTGATTTATGAAAAATATAAGATTTTTAAAATTTTATTGGGGTTGTTCATAAATGACGTATTTTAAGAATTATGGTTTTAGTTGCTAACCCCTTTATATTGTCAAAAAGTTCAGATTTGGTAAAGCGAGAATGATCTAATGATTAGAGATTCTAATCTTGCATCAACTTGCTAACGAACATCTTTAGCTAGTTTTATAAACTCTGGGTATAGTCATATTAGTCATACTAAAGAATAAGTCTACAAAACTATACTGGTTCCTGACTATGAGGAAGTATGTATCAACTAGTCTCACATTCAGTCTACTCAAATCTTTTAATGACTAAATCGAAAAGCTGATTAAAACTCATTTAAGGGCTTTTCGAGGAAAACTAACATTGCCATATCTAAAATGGATCCTAATAAAGATTAATAATTGACAATAAGTTAAAATTCCAATATAATTCAAAATCATTCACTTTTTGCAAAAGTCAACCCTCAAAATTTATCTAATTCTTCTATCCAGGTGAGTTTGTATCCTAAATTTTGGTGAATTGTCAATTTTAGTGTGCAGAGAAAATATTGAAAACATAAAAGAGAACTCAAAATCCACCATGCAACATGGAAATTATTTTCCAATATAATAAAAATCAAATTAAAAAATATTTGCACAAAAAAACATCAAAACAGTGAAAATCGTGTGTGTGGAACTCCAAAAAAGCCAAAATAAAATTGATAAAAAAATTTTTGAACATAAAAAAATTTGATTCCGAAAAGTTTTATTGTTTCTGTTGCCACGCGGATACGTGTAATTAACTTATATTTCTTTTTTCGTTGGTGCAACATCGAGTTCTATGAATCTACGTAAAAAACATAAAAAAATGTATAGTCTACAAACCTCTCGTCGTATAATGTTCGTCTCCATTGTCTATTAATAAAATCAATCAAAAAATTGGATTTTTTTTTGTTTTTTCAATTTTTTTTCATATCCACAAATTTGATAATGATGAGAATAAGTTCGTGTGATGCGAATCAATGTGTGTATTGATAATGATTTGGTGGTTTATTTCGGAAGTATGATGAATGCATAAAAATAATGAATTTAATTATAAATTATTGTGAACACAAATTTAACATAAAAAACGGCAACACAAAAATTAATTAAATTATTATTTCTGGTAGCAGCTCGGCTAATTATTATTTTTTGTTACTAGCAATTGTTGTCGACTCTTCATGTCCGGGATTTCCTACGGGGGTCATTCGGTTGATTATTTTTTTTTTATTAAAACGATAAAAAATTAAAATAATAAAATTAGAAAAAAAAATCAAATTAAAAACACAAAAAACACTCCCAATAAATTGATTAGAAATTTTCTTTTGCTTCTTAAAAATGAATTTTTGCATAAATTTCTTGCTGATCATGAATTTTTTTTTCGTAAGAAATTTCATAACAATGTGGAGGAGTGCGATTTAAATATTATTTTTAGTTCATCACAAAAACACATTGAGATGAATAAATTGATAAATAAAATGAAAACATTCCATTATAATTAATAACTTTTCGCTTCATCTTTTCTGTTTTTTTTTTTCTTGTTATTTTGGTGATTGATTGGTTTTAATTTGAATTGATTTGGTTTTATTGATTTTTGGGGAAATTTAGGAATTGTTTTTGTTTATGTAATTTTATAATTGAGTTAATTCATTATCTAATAGGTTTACTTTTCAATTTTATAAATATAGATAAATTATAAAACAATTTAGAAGCAAATTCGAAGTTTGCATCTTTTTTTGCATCGTGAAGCATAAGTTTGCATCTTTCTTTGCGTAATGAAGCAGAAGTTTACATCTTCATTTTGCGTCATGTACCAGAAGTTTGCATCTTTCGATGCTTCATGAAGCAGAAGTATGCATCTTTCTTTGCATCATGAAGTAGAAGTTTGTAGCTTTCTTTGCATCATGAACCAGAAGTTTGCATCTTCTTTTGCGTCATGAAGCAGAAGTTTGCATCTTTTTTTGCATCATGAATCAGAAGTTTGCATCTTTCTTTGAGTCATGAAGCAAAAGTTTGCATCTTTATTTACATCATGAACTAGAAGATTGCATCTTTCTTTGCGTCATGAAGTAGAAGTTTGTAGCTTTCTTTGCATCATGAACCAGAAGTTTGCATCTTTTTCTGCGTCATGAAGCAGAAGTTTGCATCTTTCTTTGCGCAATGAAGCAGAAGTTTACATCTCCATTTTGCGTCATGTACCAGGAGTTTGCATCTTTCGATGCTTCATGAAGCAGAAGTATGCATCTTTCTTTGCGTCACCCGAGCGGCACAAGGTGGCAGGTGTCAGTCATATGACTGTTATATGATCGTTTTGAAATGGCAGATAACAGTTATATGACGGTTATTTGGTAGCAATCATATGACAATTTTATAAAACTGTTATATGACTGCCATGTGACTGCCATGAGAAAAAAATTGATCACAGTTACGATTGTTTTTTGAAAAATTATGGAAACAAATCATTTGAAATCGTGATTTTGAAGTGACAAGTTCATTTTATTTTGTCTCTTGAAATTTATATCGCTGAGGATCTAAATAGGATGGACTTTAGTAGAAGGTGAGCAGAAGATTTATAAAATTTTGTTTATGTATTCTTTTATAACATTCATAAAAATTATTTATTAACGACAGTTGCAATAAAAGAATTTTCAGGAGACATGCAACTTTTTCAAGATAAAATCAATCGGAGTGCTCCAGGAACTTTTGACGATATAAATTTGAGCAATATCCAATACTTTACAAACAGTAATCCGCAGAACACGAGAAAGAAGCCAGAATAATCCGAAAAAGTTTGTCATGTTAATTATTTTTGCTTTTCTACATTTTTTCCATTACACAAGTTCATAAATAAACACAAAACTTGATGCCTTAATATTTTGTAATTTTTTATATTCATTTAATTTATATTTCAGCTATAACAGCCTATAAAAGTGCCATATAATTGATATACAATTGCCATAAAATTGTCATCTCATTGCCATATAATTGCCATTTGACTGAAATTTGATTAAAGTACTGCCCTCTGTGCCTGTCATAAAACTGCTTAAATACTGTCATATAACAGTTTTTGTTTTGTGTCAATTTTTATTGATGGCAGTCATATGGCAGTCATATGGATTACTTTATCATACTATTTGGTTGACATATCGTCAACATCGATATCAATTATCTGTCATATGACTGCCATAAAGCAGTTTTTATTGCCATCAAACGATGGCAATTGACACGTGGCAGCTGACATATGGCAGTCATATGACAGTTATATGACACCTTTGTGCCGCTCGGGTCATGAAGTAGAAGTTTGTAGCTTTCTTTGCATCATGCACCAGAAGTTTGCATCTTTTTTTGCGTCATGAAGCAAAAGTTTGCATCTTTCTTTGCGTCATGAATTAGCAGTTTGTATCTTTTTCGCATCATGAAGCAAAAGTTTGCATCTTTCTATGCGTCATGAAGCAAAAGTTTGCATGTTTATTTGAATTATGAACCAGAAGTTTGCATCTTTTTTGCGTCATGAATTAGCAGTTTGTATCTTTTTTGCAACATGAAGCAAAAGTTTGCATCTTTCTTTGCGTCATGAATTAGCAGTTTGTATCTTTTTTGCATCATGAAGCAAAAGTTTGCATCTTTCTATGCGTCATGAAGCAAAAGTTTGCATCTTTATTTACATCATGAAACTAAAGTTTGCATTTATTTTATGCATCTTTTGAAAGAATTCCAGTATATTAAATAAGCATTTGAATTTAATTTTAAAAAATCTCGACGCATAAATCACCAAAAAAACAAATTCTTAAAAAATATAAAATCTTTTAAAGTTCACTAAACTAAAAACATCACTCTTAAAAAATTAAAAACTTAAAAATTTCATTCTCTAGAAAAAAGATGAAGTGAAAAGCTTGAAAAAGCTTTCATCAGCCAAAAAAGCTTTCGTTATAGAGAAAAAAAAAATTATAAAATAATGGAAAATTTTTATAACAATGAAAGCAGCAAAAAAAGGGACATGGAATTTCATTGAATGTAAACGTGACGACACTTACCAGCTACAATTTTACTCATTTGCATAACTTGCTGTGCAAGAATTTGGTTTAGTTGCAAAAGATGTTCACGTTGCTTTTTCTCAGCACTTAATTGACTTGGTGGCAGTGCAATATCCTGCGAATGCAATCCAATAAAATTATATAAAATGAAGGAATTCTAAAACATTTAACACATTACATGCGAACTCACATTTCCTGAGATAGTTGGCGTTGTTTCTGACAGCATTTTCTTAATTGCTTCGACCTTCTCCTGACGCTTTCGCTTCTCTTCCGGTGATAATTCGGGAGCTTGTTCTGGTATGTAGCGTTCTGGGATCAAAATCTTATTTGGTGCACCAAATAAATTATCAATCGTGTTCTCTGATATTTTCTCTCTCGGTCCCAATGCAGAACGAACGACATCCGGTGCATTGATGCGTGGTCTCAGAGCTACTTCCATGTCGAGATCATCACGTGCACGATAATTGACATTCTATGTATGAAATCGAGTAGGGTATTGTTAGTGAATTATTGGAATATTAAAGAGCATATTAACGGTTTTTTAAAAATTTGAATTTCTTGCGTCTTTTTTGCATCAAAAAATTCAAATGTCCAAAAACTGTTAGGAAATAAATCGACAATTTTTAAGGATATTCATCGACAGACTGACAAACTAAATTGCAATCTATTGAAACCAGCATAGAGCATAATTCTACTTACATTCTTATTCATGTCATTTTCCGACTGTATAGTTTGTACAGTTTTAGCATTAACGTGATGCGGTGCTGTAAAATGTCTTCGCTTCTCTTTTGGTACTGCTCGTCGTTGTTTATTGGCATTTGGCACTTTAACATTTTCATCATCACCTGAATTTCCTGATGACATTTCAATTATGATTTGTCGTGCAGCTTCACTTTGAAATACTGGACTCAATTCACCGAGGGTTTTTGTGAGACTTTGTATCGATTCCGCTTTTTGTGATAAATTCCCATTACTTGATGGATAATAATTTGTTGTATAGCTCTTTTCAATTTGTGTCATTTGCGATGATGTATCGGAATATAAATCAGCAACACGATCGATGACTGATACAGGATAAGCATTACTTTGCATATTTAATGAGTTATAGTAGTCATTGCCGGCCAAATATTTGGATTGTAATTGATATTGCTGCATGTTTGGTGTCTGATTATAGATCTCATGTGTCTCTATATAGCCGCTACCATTATTACCTCGTGGTAATGACTTTGATCGTTGATAAGCATTATAAGAATCACTATTAATGGCACTATTAAATAATTGCGCTTCCTCTTCAAGCACTTGATCTAAATTTTGTGTGCTAAACAAGCCATTGCGTTCACGATCACGTTGTCGACGCTCCGATTCACGCTTAACGATGCGAACAGTTTTAATTTCTTGCTTCTCTTGTTGCGTGAGATTACTAAATGCCGATCCCTCAAAATCATCATTCTCTAAAGCCATTGAGTCGATTATCTCGTCAGCAAAGCCATTCATGATTTTGCCATTCATTAACTTATTTATATCATAATCCTCTAACTTACTCGATGCCGAACAATTGACAATATTATTTGAATTCATACTACTTGACATTGTATCAATAAAAAGTGGAATTGTCGATTCACTCAATGAGTCACTCATGCGACTATGATCTATCGAGTCTAAATCTGTCTCCGTCCATGATGTCGATGATGTACGCTTCTTAATACCTGTTACATTTCGATTCATCTCTTGATAAATTGTATTTGAGCTATCGGTTAATTCGCGTACTGCTTGACTTAGTTCTTGACGTTGTCTTTGCATGTCGCCAACCAATTGTTGAACACGACGGAGTTCTGTTGAAAAGGAATAATTATTATAATTGTGATTAAAATGTGCAAAATTATGGTTATTATAGATTAGCATTTAAATGTCTGTAATCGGAAAAGGAGCAATAAATTAAACTGTTTATTAAGTGATGGAAATTGGATGTGATAATTTTTTTTTCGTGTAGTGTTGGAGCATTGTGATATTGAGGGGAAATTTAACTTTATAATATTGAAACTGTCAGATCGAGATGAAGATGCCTTTAGGGCAGTGAGTAAGCCAAATAATAGTTAATCTGAAACTGTCTGACTTTTGAAGTCATGGGTTCGATTCCTATGAGAAAATGGTTTCTTATTCATTACATAAGCTGCTGACGATTTCCGAATGGCACAAGTTGGTTAATCGATCAGAAATTCGGCACTAAGCTGGTGTGACTCTTGCATAGTGCTGGATTTAAATCGAAGCCAGCACCATCTCAGAGTCATGCCGGCTTGGTGCTGGATATTTATTCGATTAACCGACTTGCGCCATTCGGAATTAGACAAGGATTCAAATAATGCTCACGACATCGCATTCAAAACGTGTTTAAAGCCATTAATTACTAATTTCTGGATATAAACTACTTCTAATACTAGTGGATATCCTACTTGCTTATTGTTTATAAAGGTGTCCCCGAAAGTTGTTATTTTTGAGGAAAATCAATAGAATTTCAAGAATTTCGATTGACATCTATCAAGAACGGCTCCTAGCAGAGCTCCTAGTAGAATTAGCATAGCTCAACATTTTTAAAATGGGGGGGCTCATCCCTGAATAAGGGACATTAAGTTGGCATTAAGAGAAAGTCATCGAGGAAGTCACATAAATAAAGGACATAAAATGCTACCAATTTAGGACATTAATCAAGTCTGATTGTATAAACCTGCAACTTTTACAGTCATCCATCACAGAATATACTGCAGTCGAATAATTTCAAAAACTATTCACATTTTTCACACAAATATGATTAATAATAACTTTACTAACCTGATTCCAAAACTGCCGTCTGTCCATTGCCACTATCATGATTTATGTTCGATTGGAAATTTTTCGAATCACGTGATTGCTGTAATTTTTGACGAAGTACTAAAAGTTCTTGCTCTAGCCGTGCATTACTAGCGACCGTTTGCTCTAATTTCTATTTGATTGTAATTTATTGATTTTGTTTGGGATATGATTTTTTTTTTTTCGTGTGAAAAGAGAGAAAAGAATTAGACATAAGAAAGTTGTTTATGGTGCATTTATCAAGTTATGGGAAGGTAAGAGCATTTGTTAAATTTTAAATATATTCTAGCTTAATTATGTAAATGTGTGTGTGCATAAAATGTAATTGTTAGCAACAATTATGTTAGATTAGGTTCCATTTTCACATAGAGAGTAAGTTTAGATATGGCTTGAAGTGGTTATTCATTAATGACGTCATCAAAAGCATTGCCATTGATGGAGGTCATTTTTGAATGAACTTAAAGGCTTATTTCTAGATTTTTGGATATTTAATATTGATTGAGGTCGGATCTCTGGTTTTCTCAAGAGTAAAGCTTAGACTGTACCCTCAACTAAGCTCTAATTCACTAAACCAACATCTAGTCAACCAAACCATTAAATAATGACCAAAATTCTATCCAGCAAGCCCCTAACAATGTAATAATAATGCATGTATGAATCTATTTAGCCACAAAACATTATTAACTTTAGAGTCAGCCACGCAAACACAAAGGAATTAATTTATAGCATGTATGTTTGCCAACAGCTACTTATGCACACCTTCTCTACCTTTGAATTCTCCGCCAAGAGTTGATGAACTCGTGACAGTTCCATTTCTAGTGCATGCTGTTGACGTCTCGCTGCTTCAACGACCAACGGTGCATTTTCGTTCTGCAATTTTGAACGTAATCCATAAAGTGCACGCTCTAAATCTTCTTTGTCGCGTTGTAAATTCTGTAATGTTCCTGACTCTTCTTGAAGCGCTTGATCTAGTTTGTAAAGTTGTTGAACTTTCGTCTATGTTTGGTTAAAAATAGAATAAATATTTTATTTGCTGATAATAGAAATTTTTTTATTCAATTTAAACTTACTTGCAATTCCGATTGATTTGGACTCATTCTTTCCCATTGACGTTGCTCTTCTTGCATCAATCGACGTTCTTGAATTCTCTGATTGAATTCCAATCTATCGAGAGTCGTTGTTTCGTTTGGATATCGTTGATTGCCACCACGATAGAGTGAACCTAGTTTCACCATATTATCGACTAAGTTTACTAAAGGTTTACTCTTCTCATATTGCTTCTCGAGTTCTGACAATTGTAGCTTTAATTTTGCTAATCTCTCAGCTTGTTGTGCTCGTTCTTGACCTTCTGCTGTTCGGATGCGATTCTGTGGTGTGGAAAGGATAGAAAAGTGTTACAAGTGATGGATATTTTGAGGGATTTATATGCGCCGAGATTTAAGGATTAAAAAGCTTTGCAGTTATTAATTTAATGTTGGTAATTCAACTGTGGCTTATGCTCGTGATTAATTCTTTAATCTTTCTGTTATAAAAATTTGAAATTAATTTTTTGAAAAAATAAAATTAAAAAGTTTTGTAACTGTTATCAAAAATTCAAATTTTCGCATCTTTTCGTAGCAAAATATTCAAATTGAAACTAACCGTTACACAATTAAAAGCTCTTAAATTGTAAATTTTATGAAATTTAAATCTCAAAAGCAACTTAAATCCATTAGAACTCAAAAGTTAATCAAAATAGCCACAATTAGATTCAAATCCTTAAATCAAATTTTAATCAAGGGTGTGGTGCTGATGAAATTATCAAAAATGATCAAAATGTAATTTATCAGTTCTGCACCTTTGATTTTAATTCAAATTCAGTAAATACCATAACATGTGATTAGTAAACAAGTCTCAAGACAAAACAATAAATATTAATTGTTAATGTAAATTAATCCTTTAACAAACACAAAAAAAATATAAAAAAAATAATAACCTGAACTTCATGTATTTCAGTGCAGCATTGTTCTATAGATCTCGCAGTGGAACTTGTTTCTTTTCTCAACTGAATGAGTAACAAGATTAATTCTTCATGTGTGCGATTTAGTAAATCACCAGCTGAGACATTTAAATTCTGTATTGTGTACATAAAAATAGAGGAGGGGTGTGGAGGAGGTTAAGGATTAAAATTTATAAAAGAATTTTAGGAAATGTAATTAGCGTGAATTTTAAACGAGTAGGTTTGGGATAGAATATTTTTAAAGAATGTAGGAATGTTAAGGATAAGGAATTTTGGGTTAAAAAATAAAAAAAAAATTAGCTTAAAAATAATTAAAATAAAAAACATTCAAAAAAATAACTTTCGTGTCAATTGACTGTGGAAGTGGGTCGAGCGAAGAATAGAGCAATCGTGAATAAATAATAATTATGATAATAAACACTCAACTTGCATGTGCCATTAAATGAAATCCATTTGTTAACAACAATTTTTTAATTAAATTTTCATTTCAAACAAATTGTTTGAATTATTTTTTTCTTTTTCATAAATAATGTTAAGTGTATAGTGAAATGAGCATCTCTCATTCACATACTCGTTCAGTCATTTATGCCTTCAAAAAGAGCATCAAAACAGAAATTAAATGAATTCTGTTATGAAAAATATATTTCTTTTTATTTTAATTTCAAAATGAGAGATGAATGGGAAGTCTTTTTTTGCATGGAATTTGCATAGCAAATGAAAAATTGTTTTAAATACTTGCAAAAATTTAATTAAAATTTCATCAATAAAATGTCTTTAGACACATATGCACATGTCAGGAGACACATGCTAGCTTTCATAAATCTTGAGTTATTCGTTCATACAATAGACCAAGTTAAAGTTCTTTGTCACAAAGATAATTTTTTCTAGCTACATCGCTGGGCTCAATGGCAAGTCTGAAGCCAAATCAACATTTTGTACCCGCCCCATTGGTTTAGTTTCAGTAGAGCACAATGTATCGAATTATAGGTTCTCTTATAGTACCCAGGCAATAACATTGTTGTTGAGAATATAGTAACGGTCAATAATTTTCAAATTATGAACGCAGCTATAATTTGTTTGTTTCCCCTTTTATAGTTGTTAACCCCTTCATATGAATATTCAATCTGTTTCTGATCATTGAACAATAAAGATCATTGTATAGCTAAGTCGTAGGTTATCTTTGATAAAGTTTATTAATTAACATTGTTTTTATAATATCCAACAGTTGTGCTGTTCGAAGTTCTTCTAAAACTAGTTGGTAGATCTTATAAGAACTTGATACTCTAGTTTGCCTACAGTAAACCTCAAACATCTTTAAAATCACATTCAAACCCACAAAGCATTACCAAAAACTTAATATAAAAACTTTCAATCATTTTTAACCAATTAAAATTCAATTTGCAGCCATATCATGCCTCAAAAATATCAAAACTTAATAAAATTCATATTTCTAACAAAGTAATAATGAATTATTAGATAAAATTGGTTTACTTTCTAAGGTTCTTCTCATTAAAATCGAAAGAAACAGTCCTTTTATAATAAGTAAGTAAAACACAATATAAATCACAAAATCTTCATTGTCCCTTCTTACTGTTGTTGTTGTTGCTGGTTTATATGCAAGCATAATTTAAATTAAGTTCTCGGAGGTATTTTTTGGCCCAAAAAGTTTTCACTTCTTCTTCTTATCAGACAGACTTCAATTTTTTGAAGCAACAAATTATTAGCAGTAAAGTTTTCGACACAAGATGCCTTCTGGGAATTTTGTGTTTGATGTTGGGGAGATTTTAGGTAGATTTTTTGAGGAAATTATTTGAATTTTTTATTTTGAGGTTTAGGCAGTAGCTTAAAGGGAGGGAGGAGAGCAATAGAGTACAGAAAATACACTTTTTTATGTAGCAACTATTGTCTTTGAAAGTGACTTGACCTAGCCTTTGATGACAATCTCATACAAATGACAACATTTCTTAAAGAACTTCAAAAGCATGGCCCTAACATAACCTCAAAAAAAATTTAACAAAATTTCTCCGCAAGGATGCCATAAAATCCTCGTGCAAAATTTAATGCAGCACTTTACTTCCCCTAAAAGCCCTCCAGCTACAGATCATTCATTACCATTTCTCATCTGCATTTGACGATTTTTTTTTTCACATTCATAACTTGACCTAAAAACTCAACGTTTACGACAGAGTCATATCGACATCAGCACAATAAATTCTATTTTCTCCACTTCATAAATTATACACCTTGAATGTGAGTATAGAGATAGTAACGTGAACTAAAACGTAACAACATTCAGGATGCAACAACAAATATATTTTTTCATGCTTTAAAATGTTCTAACCTAGTTTCTTACCTTAAAAATTGCAGAATTCTCACGTTCAAGATTCTCACGGATGTCACGCTTGCTTCCGGTTTTCTTAACAACCGCATATTGGTGCTGTATAGGTTCCTGTTGATGAACTTGCGGTTGCTGTTGTATCTGTCCATTAGTGTAAATTGAATCGGATGGTTTGATGTAATTTGTGCCATAATAGAAGTTGCTGTTATTATTATTACTACTATTGCCACCTGTACCATTCATATGGACGTTAATGTTACGATTTAAATTGAGTGTGTCGTTGGGATCTGTTGGCTTTACAGTTAATGGTACTTTTGGAATATTTCGAATATTTCTCACCGACACGGATGCTATAACGAATGAAAGAGAAAAAGGTAAAGAATACATTAGAGATTTTTTGATATTCATTTGGGTGCTTAAAATTAAGTTACTTGTTTTTTTTCGAGCAACAAAAAATATGCTTAATGTTATCAGCATTTAAGATTTCTTAAATTACACACAGAATGAAAAAAAGCCAGCAAAAAAATTTTTCTTTTCACATTTACAATTTAAGACAAGCCAAAACATCTTTTTTTTGGATACAAAAAGCAAAACATCACAATTTAATATATAAAAAAAATTCCACCAAAAATCCATTTTTATCATTTTTGTACAATTATGTGCAATTTAAGAAATATTTACAGCGTGAGATAAGACAGAATGTGATTATAGAAATTAAAATTGTTCTTATTAATTGATTTTTATGATTATTTAACTTTTGTATTGATTTTCAAGAAAAGATGCAGAAATCTTTCGCATCATAAGTACGTTTAGTAATAAATGATGCAGAACACTTTTGCATCATAAATTCATTCAGTCGCAGTAGAAAAATGATGCAGAGATTTTGCATCATATGTTCGTTCAGCGAAAAAAGATGCAGAAAACTTTTGCATCAGAAGTGCGTTCAGTAACAAAATGATGCAGAAAATTCTCAATTCTATAAATTTTCTTCATTAAGCGTCAATCAAATGTATTATTAGAAAATAATACTAAAATATCGAGCTTAAAATTATTTATGAGTTTTCTAATTCATTGAACTTTGAAAAGCATAAATATTCTGACAAATTATTCATTATATAACAATCTATTATTGTATAAATTATCAAATTTGTCTGAAATAACTTAAAGCAACTAAAGCCCTTGACATTTATCCATAGATTCAGACGATTCAGCAAAGAAAACGAATGAAAAACTTCTCACTGAATAAAATTGATTCCGCGCCATTAAATTTTCAACCCGAATAATCAATTTGCCGAGAAATAAATTTAAAATTTAAAATAAACTCAATCAAAATTCAAAAATTCATCCATTAAATTAAATTAAAATCAAATTCATAAGCAATTTTCTATAATCACATCATAACCAATAACGAGATTCGCATGAGAACTACAAAAGCAAAAAAATAAAATAAAATATATAAATTGTAAGAATTTTGCGTGATGATAAATACATGCGAGGCAGCATAAAAAAATAATTTTCCATCTGGTTTTTGCCTTCACACATCTCTACACACAATTAATCATAGTTCTCACACGAGACACGTTCAGTATTCATGGAAGTCGTTCATAAATGACGTATATTCTTTATGAGGGAGGGTTTGGTCTGGGACTAAGGAGACAAGCTTTTCTTAAGGCATTCTAGAACCCCCAAACTCAGAGGTAGCTAGTGATCGTTAAACAATAAAGGTATAACCTGTGAATATCCTAAGAGCACCTACGGAGTGGTATATTCACTAAGTCATACGATTTACCTCAAACTAGCCTTAACTCTCGACTCTCATTACAAAATACTACATTTACATGACTTCAATGCAACAAAGTATTAAGGATGTCACGTTTTCAAATAGACGTCACTCACGAACGACCCCCTCGAGGTTCTCTCATATATATTTTTGTAATTAAAAGTTCCATAAAATATATTGTGTATGCATAAAGATGTAATTAGAGCAATTTTTTAAGTTCGAATGTCGATGCACTCTCTTACCCGGCACATAAATTAACATCTAATTAAACAACAAAAAAGGTAGAGGAAAATTTCTTCTTCTTCTTCCTCCTCCTTCATCATCCATGAACTCTCTCTCTCTATCTCTTTCTCTCTCCCCAACAGGATTGTGTATATATTTTTTATATGCAAGCAATATTATCGTTTTTTAATTAATTGATTATTTTCCTTATTAATTCTTTTCACTTCAGTTCAGTTCAGTTCGTGTGAGCAATTCGCATGGAAAATTTCAATTTCATTCTCTGTTCTTTTTATGTAATTAATGTACCATGCATATCAGTCGACTAATTGTGATGTTGATGTGAATGGAATGGAATGACTTTGATAATTCTTATTTTTTTTTTTTTGTTCAATGCGGGTATGTGAGCATGATTAAAGGAAATATGTACGTAAAAAATAAAAATGTTTGTGTGCATAAGTATTAAAAAAATGGAAATAGATGAAGCATGTCAAATATTCTCTCTAATTTCCATTTCGACTCGATGATTTCATCAATTTCGTTCTCATATCCGAATCCAATAAAAATGTGTCTGTGTTGAGCATTGATCCAACAGCTGAAGCATCCATTGACGAGTGCGCTCTATGCGATGGCGATATGCCAATAATGGAACCCTTTTGTTGCATTTGCTGCTGTTGCTGTTGTACTCTCGAGCCGATACTTGAGCTTTTTATTAATCCACTTGACATCATGTCCCATTGACGAATATTTTCACGATCAATATTTGAATCGTCGCGTAGTATCTCATAGACGTCTGATTGCTGCGCTGATGGCGTGCATGCGAGCTGTACATAAACATCATTTTCATCCAATTTTGGATTAAGCATTAAAGTTGTCGTCGCATCATTATTTTTACTCTTTTTTGTCAGCGTTCTTTGATGCTCCTCATTCACATATGTCACTTCGCGTGTAATTTTACCGCCGCTTCGTGATTTACGCTCAATTGTTGATGACTTTGACGTAACTATTGTTGACGAGGGTGACGACGATGATGCTATTCCCCATTGTCTATCAGCATCACTAATTCGAGCCTTTGTTACAGCTGATGATGAAATACTCTCAATACGATCTAAATCATCTAACGAACGTGCATGACGCTGTGAAACTCGACGAAGGCTTTCACGCCATATCGCATCCTCCTCCCACAATTGATCACAATCCACATTTGTTGTGTCTAAATTTTCATTTTTTGAATATAATAAATTATCAATTGCCATCGTTGTCATGCTGGCATTATTGACAGCTGTATTTGAGCCAGAGGCAGCAGCGGCAGCATCAACATTAATATTCTTTTCATGATAATAAATCTTATTGTTTGCAAAATCATTTCCAAGCAGTGATGTTGTGGGCTCATTTTTATTGACAATCTTCTGTCCAAATCGTCCACTGCCCGACTCATAAATGTTTCGACTATCAATACCTTGCTCCTTTTCAGCCTGATCCTTTAATATTGATGTCAATTGTTGTTTATTAATAACATTGTGGATGTGAGAAATATAATTTGGATTTTTCTTTCCAAGTGCCTGAATATCACGTTGATTGTTTAGTTTCTCAATCGTTTCAGATGTCAAGTCTGAATAGTAGTATGGCGCTGAGTCTGATAAATTGCTATTATTACGACTGTGGCTGGGCTGTGTCATTTCAAAAATCGCACTCGATGCATCAACTGACGTCATCATGCCACCGCTGTTATCATGGAGTGCATCATGTATCGAGAGATTCTTCTCCTTTAATGGCTGCGGGGTAACATCTTGTAGGGTATAATTTTTATTACTAACATCTTCCAATGAGTCATAATAAATTGATGCTGAATTTTGTTTCTTATGATGATAAAGCTGTTGTTGTTGCTGCTGTTGTTGTTGTTGTTGCTGCTGCTGTTTAGCTTGTTGTTCCATTAGATTTATATTTTCATAATGTAGACTCGATAATGGATCTAGTGAGCTTGTGTGCTTTAAACTCTCTGTCAACCAATTTGTTTGTTCCTTACTAAAAAATAAATCACTTGTCTCGAGCTTATTCAGATAGTGATCAAGCTTATCATTGGTATTTTGTTCCTCAAACTTAAACATTGCTTCTTCATCATCCGTTGCATCTGGTGTTCCATGTATTGCACGTGGTCTTGGTGATGATTCGGTTAAACTTGATTGTGATTGATTTAAGGAATCAGCACTGATGGATGGCGATTGAAGCTTAATTTTATTGTATAAATCGAAATCGGAAGATGTATTTGAGCCATCATCAGTATTTATGCTACAATTGCTAGCCGTAGAGAATAACTTTGCATTCTTGAGCTTCTCAAATTGCGGTAAATTCAAATAGCCACTAGCATTTGATGATGATTGCTGTTGCTGTTTATATAATTGATCTTGTAAGCTAAAACGACTCGTAGCTCTGTCACTTAACTGACTGCTACCGGCTGACATTGTTCGTTGATGTATTATCTCATTACTCGTTGTGCTATTGCGCTTGATTGTATTAAAGTTTTCAGATGAGAAAATTTCTTCAGTTTCGGGCGGTGATGTTGACGGAATGGGTGGAGGCGGAACGATTTCACTGTCAGAACTGTCAAGACATTCAGCTAATGGAACATTTTTATGAATGGAACTGCTTGTACTTGCACCTAAATAATAAGATGCTGGACGAAATGTATCAGACAGGCTGAATCGTGTACGAGATTTCATGCCAATTGGTTCTTTCGACATGTCTTCGTCGTCTGCGTCAGAGCTACTATCAGATTTCATATAATTCTGTTGTGATTGTTTTAGGATATCGGGAAGGTCATGATTACGCTTTTTCAATCTCGATGGTCCCTTATCACTATGACGCTTCTTATTAGCTATCTTTCCATGCTCCGATGGTGACTTTTTGTTTTGGTTAACCTTTTCTTGATCCTTATTGTGATTATATTGTTGTTGTTGTTGATGCTGTTGTTGGATGGGAAACGATGAACTTTGTGAAGCCAATTCCATATATAATGGCTCACTATTATCCTTTTTATCAGGCATCATAACAAGTTCATAGTTCGATATGTGTTTATCTGAGGCATTCGACAATCCACTGCTCATTTCAATGTATGGATTCTCTTCGATCGCATCTGTTGAACTTGTACGAATAGAGTTAAGGATATCCATTGCGAGAATTGATGTCTCACTTGCACTTGAACTCAATATTGCCTTTTTTGGGGTCATTGGTAAATAATGATTCTCATTTATACTATCGAAAGATGCGTCTAGTCCACTGACTGTACTTTCATTAATTGGTGTCATAAGCTCATTATCGACATCTTCATTATTATCAGCCGAAGTATTTTCA